TGAATCCTGTATCATTAGGGTCTGGTACGCATCCCGTATCATCAGCGGGTAGGTCAGGGTAAGGTAATCATTTAAGCAATCATTGTGTAAGTGAGGTCCATCGTATTCATTCAAGATGGTTGCCAAATTTCTTTCGATCTTGATAAACCTCTGATTTCAGCTTAACTTAGTTGAATCTGGATTCCAAATGTTTCGCCATGCAAACTAATAAAGCTACGATTGTAAACAAACACAGATAAATGCTATAACAATCGCTATATTGGAGTATTCTATAGAAAACTTAGAATGACTCTAACTGAAGCTGTCATCATCAACTTCAATTAGAGTCATTCTATGTGAAGCCATTTTCTTTCAAATTCTCTAATATCACGGGTATGTGGGCATTTAATTGTGTTTTTACAATCATAGTTTTATTAGTTTGCATGGCGAAACTTTTGGAATCAAGATTCAGCTTAATTTAGCTAAAATCGGAGGTTTGTCGAAAACAAAAGAATTTTGGCAACGATCTTGAATGAAGCTAACTGGAGTTAGAGTCATCCAGGTGTGGCACACTGTGACAGTGTAAATAATATGAATGGATAGTAGTTCTAACCTTGTTGGTATTCATAAAGGCCATGCAGTCTTCCTACAAAAAGACATAAGAGATAACTTTGAATAGTATTCTAGTACATTTCATTACAATCTATGATTTCAGTGTTCTGACTTATAGCCATTAATGTTTCATTCAATCAAAAGCATTTGATATAAAAGAGCAAGCAGAAACTATACAATAATAGTTGCATGTTTAGTACTTCATCCCATCCATTATTAATTCATATAATAATTGTGAAAGGCCTAGGTTAAAAGCATGATCATCCCTATCCCCCTATTTACTCCATATTTTATAATACTCCCATAAATCTAAGTGAATGGTGCCTCTGGAGTCTGATATCTGCCAGGCCTATCTGGAGGAGTAAAGTTCCAACATACCGATACATAATATGGTCCAGCAAAATCTCTGATAACACCTGATGTTGTACCTATACCCATATGTCCTATGAATGGAAATATCCATCTGAAACAAGAATCCAACAAGTAAATAATGGGAAATTCATTTCAAGTGTTCACAGAACACTATTATTATCTCACTACCGTGTATTCAAACAGATATTAAGATTAAGATACATAATATATAATAGAACAAGCAACAACTGACATCATTTTCCACCTTCAGATCTCATTACACAAGTAAAGCCCCACATATGACCCACACACCAAAAATAAATGACACTTACCACAGGTGTTGGGAAGATAAATGGAGTGGGGCGAGTTTCAGAGATTTGAAGCAAAACTAAAAAAGATCTTTCAAATATTGGGATTTTGACTCTTTTAGGTTATTGTTCAATGGACTAGTGAGACCTAAATTAGATTATGCGAATGCAGTTTGGAATCCATACCTAAAGAAGGATATTGAAATCATTGAGAATGTACAAAGAAGAGTGACAAAAATAATTCCATCACTGAGGGAACGCTCATACCCTGAACGTCTTAAGGTCCTAGACATGACAACACTTGCATTTAGACGACTCAGAGGAGATATGATAGAGACATACAAGTACATTAATAACATTTATGATCAAAATGATGTAAATACAAAACTACAGTAATAAAACCCGGCCCCTCTCTCTGAACAAATACTTGGTAGCGTGGCTAGGGCCGGGAATATTACGAAACTAAATTTCGACTTGGTCTTGAATTGAGTTAATCAAATTATTTGCTTGGTCATTAAAAATTTGGAATAATATAATACTGGAAGGTGCTGACACCTTTAAATGACAACTGGACTGAAATAGTGCAAACTGTGGGAGGGGGTGATTGCAATGTATAATGATATGAATGGAATCTTCAACGCAACTTGCACCCAAGTATTCTCAACAGATCGCAATACTGAGCTTGATATGACCCCTTAAATATATGGGCTTAAATGAAGTTGAAACAATCTGTTGAAAATAAACTTTAGATCAAATTGACCACCTTTTACGCAAAACAACAGACAAAGAAATTAAGATGATATAGTTTTAATAATGATATAAATCTGAATATATAGAATATGCTGTATAAAATGGTATATTTACAGAGGAATATTTACATAATCAGAGTCACGAAGTTCGAACGAATAAGACAACTCACAACAGGAACGATCTTATTATTGAACTTACTCTTGATTAAGAATCTCACCTATCCCACTAACTATCTCATATTCCCAACATTTAACTCCACTTACATGACAATTGCAAAAGTTCTCTACATATTCCCAACATTTAACTCCACTTACAATGACAAAAGTTCTCTACGTATATGCATGACCTGAATTAATCAACACTACGGTGACCATGAGCACCTTAAAATAATGGAACACTCAAAAAGCAGAAATTCATGGAAATCCATTGATACACACTGATCTCTGAGCCAAATAACAGAGGATATTCCTTACAGAGCCTGACAGAAATCCACTTGAATATTCAAGACTAAAGTTGGAAGTATAAAAAATGAGTTTAAACTGAAACAACCTTATCCCTCGAAATGCATCAAGGTTCCGAGATCTCAAAACCACGAGGTTGAGAACTTAAGGAACTGAGACAAAGAGATTTCTGTTATAAACTGGAAACAAAAAGTAACTCATATAATTGAGAAGTTTTAGCCTTGTGGTAACCGACTAGAAAGCGGCTCCCCAGAATCCTGAACAATATAGCCCAAGATTCCTTTAGAATAAAACTTACAACCAATTAAATGTAAATGAAAGAACTAAAATGTTCTAAAATATCTGCATTCAATTGAAATGTGATCAAGAATCTCAAGGGTGCTTAAGCTCAAACACCCAGGAATTCGCTATACGTAAATCCCGTGTGGAACCTCGATTCCACTCAACCCAAGGCAGATAATAGAGTTTTACAAGCGCAAAACTCTTAATAAAATAATAAAAAATGCTGAAAATGCCAAAGTAACTTCGCTAAATAATGCAAAGTATTAACAAGGAATTTTGATATGCAAAGATAAAGTTTAAGGGACAAAGTGCTGAAATGAAGTCTCACTTTTGATCTTCATAGTATTTCCAATGGATAAATAAGTACCCGATCTTTCATTTGACACCAAAAATAGCTCAAACAGACCACATCAGACTTGACACTGGATCATGAAAAAATATTTTTGATCTATCAATTTATATGTGTCAAGTTTTTAGCAATGCCATAGAAAGATGGCATTGTTGTTTGCATTGCTTATCCATTCCTTTTTGATAGGATTTTCAAGCATACGCCATCTTTTAATCCAAGAGTTATTTAAAACATACATTTTTTGAAAAGTGGTAATTCACTTTTTTCAATCTCTGAACTTCAAATGCCGTTTTCTATGCGAATAATTTTTTTTTCACTTCAGTATTATCCCAAATTAAAGTTTTTATCATATTTGATTGACTGTGTGAGTGACATGTCTCAAATAATATTTTGTCCAGTTTCCTTCAAAAATAGGCGCATTGCCTGTTTAAGTAAAGAATTTCTTACGCCATGGTTACCAGACTGAAATCTACATTATAGCCTAGTCTTGTTTATAATCTTAAAATGTCCATCCATAATTCTGGTTTTCCAAGTTCATTTCCCAACTCGAGCAATTCATTAGGTTTCTCCTTTGTTTGTCCCATATTCACTTGTCAGTCTCAAATTCAACTCTAGCAATTCAATTTCTCCTATGTTTCTCCCATGTTCACTTTCTCAGTCTCAAATCTACATAACTAGTTTCTCCTAAGTTTCTCTCATGTTCACTACCTCAAAGCTACATTCTAGCAATCCAGGACCTTTCTCCCATGTTTCTCACACGCTCACTATTCCAGCATCAAAACTACCTTCTATCCCTAACACTAAAAAATATTACTTAAGCCTACTTCACAAAATATAACAATCAGCTAGAGCTAACACCATTGGTCAATGCATTAAATACTTATCCCTCTAACTTGACTCTCATTGGCTAAGCTTCTTTCTCTACTTTAAAACACTTTTAAGACTGATGGTCCTTGTAAAATCACATAATAAACAAAATAACATTTAAAACAAGTATCTAAAAGATAATGCACAAACTCAATATAAAATAAAATGAATGTACAAATAAAAGTAGAAAGTAATGATGCCAGGATCATTACACTACTTTTTCCCAGTCTACTCCAGCTGACACTGTTGACTCCAGCAAGAAGACCACAACGAACACGTACATGTAGATGTAACACCCAGTATCCATTCAAGTCACATTGTAAAACATCCACAAGACAGCACACATTTAGCCAGAGAGTGGTAAAACAATGGAATTGTATACCAGAATGGGTAGTAAATGCCCAAAGTGTGAATCAGTTCAAAAACAGATTGGACTCCCACTGGTACAATCAATGAAATATGATCATACAGTGGACTATTATTTTATACATCGTTAATTACTAAATTGATCGGTTAAACAGGCAAAATATGCCTATAAACCGTAACCATCTTATAATTCCAGAAAATCTAAATCTACAAGTTGCAATCTAGGAATACAGGTGTAGGATTATATTCATTGGCTGGGTAACAAAAATTCTCAAAAATCTTGATTTTGAAAAGGTTATTTTGACATACAAACAGAAGTAAAATGCAAAAGCTTAAGTCAAGAGAGGGATGGGGCACCATACTATACAATGTGGGTATCGGGATTTCTCATGGTCAATCCGATGAGCCCTGTATAGAGGTATATCTTGAGGCATTTCCCTACTTCCTTCTCCCAGTTTGTTGTCCATCAGTATACACTAAAAGCTAAACTTGAAATGAACGAAACAAGAATAAGTAAATTAGCCATATCGTACAAATATATATTTATTTTATTTATTAACCAAATATGTCTTTCATAATTCTATTGTCATTTTATCATTCTTATATATTTTTATAGGGAATAATATCCAAAATTTTAACAGAGCCGTTACATGTGAAAATCAATATTTCAGTTACAACCCATCCATTTCCGGTTTAATCTTTCAGAAATTTGCACAAAAATTGTTAAGATTTCAGTCGATTTAGACATGTTTAAATCCTTTGCATAGGATAAAAGTACAAAATCATCGTTCTATAATGACTGAGTTCCATCTTAGGCGTATCGGTGTACCTCCAAGTCATCCTGAAGTAGGGAATTGTTTGAGGTAAGAATTCCATCATTTCTGATTGGCCATGCACTGGAAAGGAGTCAGATTTACAACAATAACAAAGCAAATGTATGACACAATTTGTTTCATTTTACTGTATATTATTTAGAATTTGTCATTTGTATATATATTCTTTCTTAATTCCAGTTTTAGTTATTGGATACAACTGTTGTTGTCACCTGTCACTACAAAATTGACAATGTTGCTTTCAATGCTTTTTCATCTAGACTCTATAAAATCTAATAAGATTAAGCTTATGGATGCGACTGTCTCTTACCTTCCAGGATTAACTAAACGCTCACAAATTTCAAATCACAAAATTTGAGATCATGACAGGGTTCTCACCAGGAAATTTTTAAACCCTGGATTTTTAGCAGTATTGTGATTACTTTTTTCGCGGTATCAAGACTACTTCTCCCCCATATATAAGATCAGAGATATCCCATTAGTATACTTTTCAACATACTTCTTCAGATTATCTTGCTATTTTAATCCCAATATTTATTTCTAAAAGCTTTTTGACTTCCTATTTCTTGTTTGTATCCAGTCTTATGTATTTTCTCAAGAGTTTTACCGCAAATAATGTGACTAAAATGTAAAATTAGACTCCGGAAAAACACTTTAGACTCCAGAAAAGCTATTAGACTCTGGAGCAAGAGGGTTTTAAGACATTAGACTCCAGAGAATCTCAGGAGTCTAAAAGCCTAGTGAGAACCCTGCATGATATTTGGCCCTCGAAAAACTATTTACTCTCAAGAGATTTGTCAAATGCTCAAAACAAACCTATTTCCTTACAGAATTGCTCGTCCTAATTTGTTTTTTATAATTTCATCAATTTCTGGTCAAATTGAGCCTCGTCTTCATAACATCCAGTCTTTGTCTCACTTGTTTCTATGTTACTTGTTTCAATTTATGAAATTGAAATATCATATATACATAAATAACAATAAATATGAATTGTTAGAACATTGAAAAATGAAAAGTTCCTTCCGAATATTGAAAATGATTTGTAAAATAGCCAAAAAGTCTTGAGGTATGAGGTTCCATATCCATCCGCCAAAAGGTATGACCCCTATATAGTCCATTTAAAAACCTGTAGTATTGTTCTAAATAACACCATAGTTGGCTTCTAGGGTACCTAGTATGCCACTATTTGGTATCAAAATAAGAAGGAGGAATTCAACTTTCATTTGAATTACGAAAATAGCGATGTAGGTCAAAAATAGTTCCGACATGATCATGTTTACTACGCGTTTGCCCATCATCTCAGAATTGAGGAAATGGTAGCAAACGTGAGTTACAATAAATGGACGCTGATATCTCAAAAAGCAACCTGACTCCCTGTAATTTGATGTAGATCAATCGAACCCCTATATGAACAGGTACATTTTGATATATAACACTATGGGGGTAAGCGTTTTAAAGTTGATCACGAATGCCATATGTGCAAAGTATTGATATGAATTTTCGAATTTGGTGTTGGATTACGGTACTCATACCTTAACCAATGAAACTTAGTAGAATGAAAGAACATTGAACAAGGTTCAATTGTACCAAATATGACTTCAAATCCATACCGGATGGCTGAGTTATTAAGACTTGTTTGGATTACCTTTTTTTGGCTCACCCTGTAACATTTTGATTTTTGTAAATTTTTATGATTGCCCTTTATTCTCATTATTTTGAAGTAACTTGCATTTTTGTTGAATATATCCATGTCTGGAAGCCTAACTCAAGTCACAATGAAGACAAGGGCTCATAAAGCAAAAATCATTCCTTTCGTAAAATAAAATCTCCCTTTGTTTTTCAGGCTAAAGAACCATAACAATGCACGAACCACATTTGGGCGGGACACCTCACAGAGTCACTACATAGACTCCACACAGTATGAGAGACTCATATCACGACGGCAGGCAGAAATCACATGTCTCGAAACTCAAAATGGTGCTTTACAATTTGTTCTAAAAGACATGAGTCTCAATGGAACATATGTGAATGATGTCAGGGTAAGCTTTTTTGATCTCTCAATGTTTGAATATATGTTTGTTTTTACACAGGGTGACCAAAAAAAACATTATCCTCTAATTTTAGGATAACTTTCAAAAATATGACAGAATCTTTTTGATTTTTTTGTGTAGATACAGTGTTTAATTTAGAAAGCAGTTGTGTACTTCTATATTGCATCTATGATTTTGAGATTTCAAGAAATCACATTTCCTTCCAAGTATGCTTTCACATGATATGATCCAAAAATGTTCAAAATTACAATTTTCCGAGATTAGAATATCTGTCTTAGCCATTATTTGAGTCATCTCTGGATTGCTTTCACATATTTTATCAATGATATATCATACCTACCCATTTTTTCTAAGCTATTTTTGTCAAATATGATGAAATGTCTTGCATATGAGGTCAATTTTAAGAATAAGCAAATTTCCCAGCTTACATTTTGGAGTGGTTAGTGGTTTGGAGTCAGAGTATGCCTCCACAGAAAACATAATATCTCTGAATCTTTAAGTTGTTGATTCTACGCAAGTTCACAAATGTTTTATGCATTGAACAATCTATCTTCAGAAAAAAATAACAAAGATTCCTTCTTAATTGAGAAAGTTATTCCAAAACTTGAGGGTAACATTTTTGGGTCACCCTGAATGAAAGAGAACGCTAATGTTTTTTAAAGAAGCATGTTCAGTTGCTTTTAAGTCCAAATTTCCTTCAACTTGTTTCTGATTCATGGTCTGGCACCCTTCATGTAACTAACATTTATTATGATAAACCATAGCTGTTTCAGTACTGTACCCAACTGTGATTTTTAATATTACCACCTATAAAGTTTGGGCATTTTTGTGAAGAAATTTTTAGTTTATTGGTGTCATGAAGCTTTTTGATGAGATTGATGCACTTATATAACTAGCAACATAGGGATATGAGACATTTCGCATGCTCACATGAATATTCTTCAGCTCCATATTGTTTTTGGATGTAATTATTTATGAACATGTATTATTGGGTAATTTCAGGTAAATGGGCAGTGTGTCTTGAATTCAGGGGATTCTGTCACATTTGGCCACATTCAGGGTGTCAAGATATCTCCAGGACAATATGCTCCCCAGAATGACTCAGAGTTCAAGTTTGTGGTAAGTCATGCAGGATTAAAGAATGCTTCATTTAAGGTGGGAATGGTTGGATGTTTTAGTACCTGATTATCTATGATTCAGTATTTAAGTCAAGTGTGAATACTCACATATAGTTAGTGAAACTAGTCTTTCTAGTCTGGGATCTTTAAATAGAGCCTTTTTGGCTGAGATTTTGGATGTTCCGAGCAAAGGAAGACAATAAACAAAATCAGATGTTTAGAGTAATAGATAATATACTATTACCAGTCTGCTAGGGTAAATAAAGAGAATGTTTAGCATGTCTAAATGTTTTAAATCTTTATATTATTTTTAAATTACAAGATATATCTTTCTTATACCACATTTATCATATATCATATCTTGAAAATCGAATATAAGAAAAGACAAACCACATCCCCTAATATTTCTACAATAATAAAACAGTTATGTCAAACTTTAGCTTTACCCTGTCAAACTTTAGCTTATATATTATGAGGTTATATAATGGTTCTTTCTGTATATCGTGTTTATACTCGAGTGAGTATATGATATATTCACAAGTGAGCGTAGCGAACGAATGAATATATTATATTCTCACGAGAGTATAAAATGCACGATATACAGAATGAACCATTATATAATCTTATTATGCCACTCTAAGTTCAATTACAGTTGATTTGAACACAATCATAACAATTAAAAACCATAAAAATATCCCATAGCCAACTCAATAATGCTGATGTTGATCTCGAACCATTTATGACGTGGCTTGATTCTAGCAAATCATGCCGGAACCATTTATGACATCACTTGATTCTAGGAAATCGTGAAAATTTTCATGTTTTTTTATTCATTAGTTCCCAGAATGCACTTCTACAGTGGTATACGCTGGAGTGTATACGGAGGAGTTGTATACGATGACGATATACCACTCTCCACTGTATATCGTTGTTATAGACCCATGTTATACAACTGTAATTGGACTTAGATTGGTATTAATTTTTGTATGAAAATAAAAAACAATGTTGTGCAAAATAGAGTTTTATTATTACTTTTATTTGCAGTTTGAAGAAGTAACTGAAGACAATCAGAGCCTGGAGCCTGAGATAGTATATCACACACTGGATACAGTTGGCACAGACGTCACAGACTGTACAGACACAGATTATATACCCCCTGATAGCACCACTAATGACACCAGCACTAACTATGTAGCCCTACAGACCACTAACACCTAGTGAGTAATAATCTCATTGTACATACATATGTATTTGTATCCTCATTGTGTTAAGCGGGTTTGGGACTTGTACCCTGTATTATTTAACATTGGCACCTGCCCCACCCACTTTACCCCCATGTTGCTGTAGCAATATAAGTGCTTATAACATGTGTTGCTGAAACTTAAGGGTAATAATGGTCAGTATTTTGATTTTGATGAATTCAAGTTAACTTTGATTAATATTTTAGAAGATTATCTTAGATAATCATTTAATGTCATCAGTGATGTATTGTTATATTTTCCAATGCACTGACTTGAGGAGTATACAGTGAAGGCCGAGGAGATTTTTGATTATACCTGTTACTATGGCAACAACTGACACATAATCTTACAGTTCTTATAATCATAATTTGCACCTAATTTGTTCAACAGCCAAATGGTAGACCTTTGTGGACAAATACAAACTTATATTTTTGTTGATAAAGTTATTTTCACTTATTTAATATTTTTAGTGTGGGGCCATATTATATAAACTTACTAAATAAAAAAAATTCATTTTGATGTGTCATTGTTGCAGTGTTATTCAAGAAACAAATCAGCTATTTTATGATTCATTTTATGTGACTAAAAATTATATAAACCTGTATACCATTGGAAAAGAAATCTCAATCTGCATATTAAAATATTTTTAGATATAAACACTTTATTCCTCCCAGTCAATTCGGTGTTTGTACCATCCAAAAATATTTGATTGATATATTTATGTTGTTCCCAAATAGCAAGATGCATAGACAGTAATACTTGTATTAATATATTACACAGTCTCCTGCAATATATAATGGTATTAAATTACCCTGAATCCCCATCAATTATCTACACCACCCTCTAACTATTATACCTTATTTTATAGTTTGATACTGTTCAGATCACAATAAACCTTTAATGGACATTTTAGGGGAGTTCATGAAATGTATTTTCTGTATTCATATTTTGACTTGATAAATTATATGCTATTTCAATAATTAATCTCAAATTTAAAGAGTGTGGACAAAGACCATCTCTTTTAAAGGGTTGAAATTTATATAATAATAAGATAGAGTGATATATGATATTTTTATGTAAGGTTGAAATCATACTGTTATGTCATATCCAAATCCTACTAGTCCTACAGGTTTGAATTAGAACATTTATGGACAGTTATATTCTTTTCCTTATACATGCTAAAAGTAAGTTCTCCAATATAAGACTTACTGACTATGAGCCTTAAGCTTGGTGCAATATCACCTTGTTAGATATACATGTCACAGTTTCACGTTTTGGTTGACATAGTAACATATACTTACAAGTATGTAAGAAATAAGAAAATTAGTGCCAATCAGTTTATAGATAATAGATGACAATAAGAATGTGATAAGTATGTGATTATATGATGATTTTGAGTGAAATCTTTTGTATAACCAATGCGTTATGATCAGGTGGATTCAGGTGAGAGGAAGTAAATGAGTGCTGATGTTTAGTATTACATACTTTACTTTATATGGTAATTGTGTCCACTGCTAGAATTGCATTCGGCATTCAGCATCTGTAACAAATGGCAGGTGATGACATTTTGAATGTTTATTGGTATCTTCATGCTTAATTACAAACAGGTTCACTGGTGGTATGTGTAGAATTACAAATGATACCAATATTACATGCTTAGTTCATTTATAGATACATGTATTTAATGCCTATTTAACTTGGGTGTATATAATTCTCAGAAAATATCAAATTGATACTCAAAATGATATTTTCTTTGACTAAGATCCTTTTGTCCTTCACATCTGAATAAAGTCTATATGCACACCCTTTTATTAATTAACATCTCTGTACAGTGTAATATTTCTCACATTGCAGCCATGGAGACTCAGGTATTGAGGATGCCAACTCAAGGGGCCAGGAGAGACTTAGCATGGGAAGTCCAGGTAAGAACAGCTAACTAAAGCAAGCTAAATACATGTATAGGCAGAAAATATTGTGATTTCTTGACTCCCTCTCTGATTATAAAAATTGTAATTTATAATTTTACATTAGATGCTGATGAGTTAGGTGCTCAGGAGGTTGTTGGTAGTGGAGAAGAGGAAGACAACTCAGACAGTGAAGAAGATATATTTAAAGGTAACTTGTCAAATAATTTTCACATTTATAAGTTTTTTACTAAACATTTTTCATGTAAGGGGATATGCATAATATGTTTACATTACTGTTTAATTTAATATGTACAATATTCTTTTAAAATGTCATAATAGAGTGAAATCAAATATATTAGAAGATGAATAAATTAAAACATTTAAAAACCTTTTTAGGGTTTTAGTTGTCTCCTTTAAACTTTTATGTAATTCATTTTGGATTGTATACTCATGAAAAATTGAATACACTGATTTTTGAATTCCTGATATAACTATTTCAATGGACAATAGGGATATCTAAGATCAGTTATCTCCTACCTACTTGAGATTTTGATATTAAGCATGCACCCACCTGAGAATCCATTTACACCCACATTGGAATGAGTGAAATCATAAAAATATGCACATTTTGACCCTTGGTAAAAATTATGAAATTAGGAATTTTGCTAGCTTGTGGCACTCAGCGCAGTCGGCACGTTGTGTGGGTGTATACGCCACTACGCAAAAATCGCCCCCCCTCCCTTTGGGAAATCCTTCGAACGGGCCTGTAGTGCTGCTTTGCATATCTCCCAATTTAAAAGTACAATATTTTTCATATTTTGGATGTTTTATACAATTTCAGCAAAAACAAATAAAAAGGGTGGAAAGAAAAAAGACACTCCCAAAAACACAAAAGCTAATAAAGCAAAAGAAACTCAAAAAATCACTGGTGCTGCAAAAAGGAAAAAAGGTATGAGTTTAAAATAGAGGAATCAAAATGGACAATTTTTCAAATCATTAGTTCCATTTGTTGAAAGCTTAGAAGAATACTTTATTGTGTAGATAAAAGATTTATATTAATATGGTTATTTTATCTAATAATTTTCCCTCCTAAAATGACATTGATGAACATGATTCATTGGGAATTGTGTTTGTCAAACTTTTGGAGGGAAGTGTACATTTTAGACTGGGCATTCAACTTCATTACTTCTGCACTTTTATAAAAGCAAACATATCCCGTTAGATATTACACATACAGATATTTTTATATACTTGTTCAGGTTCAAGACGACCTAGCATAGGCAAGAAAAAACAGAAGCTTGATTCGTCATCAAATCAAGATCAAGATGACACATGGTATTGGCATGACGACAGTAACAAATGTGCAGCTTACGACTGTGAACGGCCAGGAAATAATGAAAAAGTGGAATGGGTATGGAGAGAATCCCTATTTAAGAAATATATACCTTCATCATCGTTCATTGGAAATTTATAAGCTTGAGTGCATATACTAACCTGTACACATAATGCACGAGGGTAGAGCCCAAGTACATTGTCAGGATGGGTTAGTACATGCTCTTAAATTACATTGTCAGGATGGGTTAGTACATGCTCTTAAAGCCAATAAAGAATGCCACATGGTTCTTCATTTTAATTCAAATAATATCACTCTTACAAGATGACATTGCCCAGTTCTCTATGAATACTTAAACTACTCATTTCATGTCATGGATAAAGTATAAGTAATGAAATCTAGGAGAAATAATAGCCGAGGCCCAGTACGAATGGTTTATCTAACTTAAACCCCTCTCTGATTCTTATGAAAGGTAGATGACCCATGATCCTATTTAAGGGAAATTTGATTTCTTTTGTATTGACTATGGGGTAAATGTTTTGAGAAGTGAGTGGGTGTAATTAGTTCAGCTTCAATGCACTGCATGTAACAGGCCAAACTGGTATTGGAAAGCTTGCCAAGTGTCAATTCTTTTAAAACGAAAGAAAAAGAATCATCTTTGTTATAACTGTATATTCTTTAAAATAAACTACAGTTCACTGTTTTTCCAGGTCCAATGTGATGACTGCGACGAATGGTACCACACCCAATGTGCAGGCTGTAAGTACTCTTTAGTAAAGAAATCAAACACAGAATTCCATTGTGGATGTACGTGAAGCCCCTTGAACAATGCTCAACATGGACACTCTTCATGTGAAGTGCAAGTATAGAAGACAAAAGCTTCCAGGAAAGTAACACACAGCTTTATCTAGTAAAACTACAAGGAAATGTGTACATATGTTATATGTGTTCCCTGTCATTAAAACATGAATGGACATGGGAGACTAAGATCTTTTTCATTTTGACTGAAATAGGAAAGAAAAAACAAGTCCAACTCTAGTAATACAGAGTTCATTTGTTGAAAGACAGTAATGTAGATTTGAAGAGCAGAATAAGTGTATTTGCTACATAATTAGTGAAACGTGGGAAGTGTTGTTATTGTTATGTTGTGAGGCCTGACTGAGTAGGCACAGCGATTGTACTGACGTAGAAGATTCCGAGATAAGGCAATCCAGTGTCCTATGTTTTGATCTCTTTGCTCTATGTACCAAGAGTGCTCCGGTGCATGTATTAATTATTAGTATTTGGTTGAGCACTCTGTATGGACCATCTAGACTCTTTGTTCTGAATACATGTCCGGTCTCAATAGCATTGTCAGAAATAATAGATGGCACCATATTAGCCATACATTTTTGGGACTTCTTTTGAGTTTTTTACACACAGGGGTTCAACTATACAAGAGAAAACATTAATTTGAATTTTAGAACTACCAGGTGTTTGGTGCAGTATGAGACAAACATCTGGTATGTCTGAAATTCAGATTAACGGTCGTGATTGAAAGGCTTGTGTCAATATCCTCCCTATACTGCTCTTCCCTCAGGGGGAGAGTATGGTGGAGAAAGGGCGGGGGGTCAGAACACTGAAGCAAGAATATGTGTCTGGACAGAAACATCACAATTTCAATCCAGAACATTCAGTATCTAAAAATCTTAACATATTAGATATGTTTAGTGTTGACAATAGAATTTCATAAAGCGGGCTTTTTGAATGTAACAGGCTTAGTATGCTTAACCTACGGACATTACCTAATTATTATAGGCATCGAGAAAAGAATAGATTAAATGCTACTTGCCATCTTTACACTGTTTATTTGCAATATTAAACTGGCTTATGACCAGCACTTATGTTGTATCTTGTTCTAGAGTGCAAAAGTGAATGTGCATTATACTTGTATAGTTTATCATTCTCATATCATCTTCATTGTATATATAAACATCAATCATCATTTCGCGTTGAAAGTATCGTGACAATAGGAAGTGAAGAACATGTCGCACTTTTTCAGAAGATATTGTAATTTTTCAGAACATATGTTTGCTCAGAGGAATGTGTTGTTATTCTTCAGAACTTATTGCATTTTTCAGAGAAACATGTTTGTTCACAGCATGTATCCATAAAAAATTGTCATATTTATCAAACTGTAAATGCAAGATAATTTGACACTCATATGTTTATCTTAGAGAGAAACTTACTTTGTGAAACAACATTTTGATGTGAAGTTATGCGCATAGCTAAGTTGTACGGTATTAAGAGGATGTAGAGGAGTTCAGCCTTGGCCCTAATAATTGGATGGACTAAATTTGTGGAGGGACCTATTTGAAGATAAAGCCATCAGTAGATTTTTTATTTTTAGAATATCATGTAATTTAAAGCAGTATTATAGTCTCCATGCATAATACCATAATAGGTGATATATGCACAGTACTTAATTGGTTTAGTGTGCGCACAATTCCTTTAGTTGGACATGGGGATCTTTCAAAGGATGGCTGACATTGGGACATTAAACAATATTTGGATTTAACTTACAGAATATACAAAATCAGGAACTTTATGAATTTTGGTTAAATATTTTCTTCGCATTAACTTAAGTAAAGAAAAACCTGTTTTTCAAACACTTTAGATAAGTCTTTAGAATGGTAAAAATACATACAAAGTCATGTTGTTTCATGTAACTTCAGTGCTTTAATAGTTTAATGTACGGCAACAAAGAAACATTGCAGATATGGATGATGTAATGAAAATTTAGTTCAATATAAAGGTAATGTGTGACACAGTGTATACTGTATATATCATGTCCAATGTTCGGAAGAAATGAACGGAGGGGGAGTAGCTGATTTTCGCTAGAAAATTTAACAAATCTGGAACATTTATTTTTTCAAGAGAAGGTTTACAATTGAATGGCTATGGCTATTGAATAGGCACAGTGCACAGGGAAATGTGTTAGTTCTTCTAGGATTTTTTTTAACTGATTGACTTCTTAGATAAAAGATCTATCAAAAAAGGAGCAGCGTCACCAATGTGAAAATATCAATGTTTTTGCTATGAATCAAGCAACAATTGTCTACCCGTAATAAGTATATATAAGCGACATTTTTATCACAAAATGAATGTCATTGCCTGTTTCTTAAATAAGTTTTCAAACATGAGATAAAATATAATCAAAAACAATTAAAATTGAACGGAGGGGGAGTGAATGGAGGGGGGGGAGTAATATGTCTTTAAGGTGGAAGAAATTTCCGTGAATTCGTGTAATGAACCCGGAAACAACTTGATGTTACAACTCTGAAAAGTGAAAAATAGGGACATATGGAGTTATTAGAAATAACGTCAAGTTACGTCTCTTATCATATGTCTTATAGATACATTACTCCCCCCTCCGTTCACCCCCCTTCCATTCAATTTTAATAATTTTTGATTATTTTTTATATAACGTATGGTAACATGTTTTACAAAACAAATGATGACAATAGTTTTGTGATGATAACTTCACTTACAAGTATTTATTACAGGTCGTCTAGACCTCTGTTGCTTGATTTAAAGCAAAAACATTGGCATTTGCACGTTGGCGACGGTGCACCTTTTTTAATAGATCTCTATCTTGGAAGTTCATCAGTTCAAACAAAATCCTAGAAGACCTAACATATTTCCTCGTGCACCGCGCCTATTCATTTAGCCATTCAATTGTAAACTTTCTGTTAAAAAATAAATCCCAGAGATATGTTGAATTTTCTAAAGAAAATCATGTACTCCCCCTCCGTTCAATTCTTCCGATCACCAGGCGTGTTTATGTTCCTCCAGAAACAAATCAGTCCCAGTCTATGTAATTAAACATTGCCTACTTTTATACAAAACATCCAATATCAAAATACTGTAATTTAATTTTATGACTTACCATTATACGAGGGGTGATCAGAAAGCCATTATATCTCCAATTTTTTATTTTCAATATATTGTAATTAAACTTTCAGAAAATGTTTATATGAGATATGTGAACTTCTTGATCACTCCTCGTACATATACAAAATCATTCAAAAAGATGATGTTTTCTCATTTGATATTATCATGCAGTTGAAATTGAACAAACTACTTTTCAAATGTTGTATGTGTAATTTCTAATGTTTTTGTAAAAATATTGTCAAATAAACATCAGAAAAGTATTATTTTTATTTGTTGATTAACAACATTTATTTGATCGAAGACAGAGAATGTTTTGTTTAACACAATTGGATTGACTTTCAAAGCAGCAGCCTTTTGTATATACGTATTCATTTTCCTTGTATAGCAATAATGATCCAAACTGACATGTTATTATGAAGTGTCTAGAAAATGTTTTACCATGCTTCAGACAATTGTATCTGTTCTTACACTATCCAATTTCTCCTGCTTTTGCATGAGATTTCCAACTAGATTTTGAATCACTTCTTTCTTAATCTTTTCCTATATGAATCCATATTTAATATGTATTATGTTTATATATCTTTAGTACCTGGATGAAGTGATTTAATTTTCATATGGTCACAGTGAGAAATATATTAATATTGCACCTTGATATGAAGCCCATATTCAATCCCTCCTTATAAATAACCTCTATATATTACTAAACTGGAACTATATTCCATCACCTCTTATCATGTTGTCCATAAAAGGCACTCCTAAGTGGACATGAAGAAAAGTCGATTGCAACATTTTGTAAATGCTAAAATTTTGAGTTATTTGGATGGTAATGCAGAGGAGCAGTTTGGATGGACACTTTGTATGTATCAGCAAAAACTGCCAATCGAGCTATGCTAAGATTATTCAGCAGTATAAACTTTAAGTATGCAGTGATTTCATCGGAGCACAAAGTTTAACCATTTATATAAAAATAAATACAATCACCATTCATATAAAAATACCTGTACCAAAAATGTCTATGAAAATATGTTCTTGTATACTATATTCTAGTAATTTATGAACAAAGTTGAAGGTAACATGGATTCTAGATTTCAATGTCATATTTTTATCAGTTTCTGGACCCCTCACACTATCTACTTCACCTTCCTTGTGGAGTGATGAAGGTGTGCAGGGGGTACGTGTCCAAGATATATCTCAGTAGTTAAGCAGTGCATTTTTGTGAGTCCTAAATAGAAAGCTAAAGTGGTCCATATGCCACAATGCAGTGAATTCTTTTGGTGTCCTAAAAAGATGTTTTCTGAAGCTTTGTCCGCCAATCATTGTTCTTATCTTCTTGCTGCCAGTTGATTGCTGTTACTAGTAACTGAAAAGTCAATAATTCAAATTATCAGTAAGTGTAAAGTGGTGTTAATATAAATATTCCCCCATTTATGAAAAATTATAAGTTTTTTGTAAATAGCACTGGTTAGATTTCACTTTTTCAATGGTAAATTCAAACCCTCCGGTTCAAATCAAATCTTGGGGAATCTGCGTTTGAAATTTTGGCCATACATAATAGTAACTAGACCAGGAAAGAAATCCATTTTGATGTGTAATAATTTAATGTAAATAATAAAATTATATACTTCCGTATCCATACAGGGACAATGCTTGGTCTTTATTTAATGGAACATCGAAAATCGCTAAGTTGTCCATCATGAACCAACCATTGAAATCGTTCAATGACACGCTGTTGGACTTGCCAATGACCAACCCAGGACTGCCGCCAGATTCAGAGCCACTAGGTGTTTTGTTCACAACACCGGCAATCTGCAAGACAAGAGGGGAGCTTGTACCAGAATAGGACAATACCATTGCCTGTTTTTTCTACCATAAAATGTTCAGGAGTGATTTGATAATTTCGTTCTGATGGGATTTACTCTTACGAATAATAGGCACCAGAGGGACTGGCCTTTTTAATTTATCCTTTGATAAGAATTAAAAATCTCACGGTAGAATATATCTTCGTGGATGGCAGCAGGAAATAGAAAGCCCATGGATAAACTTACCTCGTCATTGCGGAAGAAGATCAACGAAGAAGTGTCTGCTGAATATGTAAAGGCAAAATGATCCCAAGTGTTCACAGGCACCGTCAATGGCATTCTATACATGGAATCTTCTAGTCTTACGATGAATATTCCTTCCACATAATTGGAAAACTCCTCGGCATTCACAAAGAAGGAGATACCTGTGTGACCATCCTAAAATACAGTTGTTTGTTAATGTCGAGAACTATATCTCTGTATTGAAATAATATATTATGGTGATACAAAGTGGTCCATTTTCCGGACGGAGACATTGAGGTGGGAACAGAATGGCTGATGTTTGGCACCATGGCTAACCTAACCCCCTATCACACCAAACTAGTTCTTACCCGTTCTTGCCAGTCCTCCAAAAACGTCGTAAAACGGGCTCAATCTGGCTGTGGTCGGGAAATATGTCTAAAATAATGAGCTAACAGTCTTCAATACGTCCATCTCATTCGCAGTTCGTTCAGGTCGCACCACGTCGGTGTGCAACGTCGTATAACGCGTCCACTAGAAGGTCATCATGGCCTGATTACAGAACGGTATGATCGCCATCGAATTTTGAATCGATTCAAAATTCTAAATCACATTGACCGTCCGGAAAAGTCCATGAAGTTCGTAAACAGACCGTAGAACGTTGTAGCTACGTTCCCAGTTTTGAAGAACGCAGTGGCAACTTGCCCATTCGACCTACCCGTTCGAGTAGGTTCGATGAAGTTTGTAAATAGACCCCAAACGGTTCTAACCTACGTCCAGTCCGTTCGTACACAGTTGAAGCCCGTTTTCGAGAACGTAGTGAGAACTAGTTTGGTGTGTTAGTAGGGTAACCTTACTACCACACCAAACTAGTTCTCAGTACGTTCTCGAAAACGGGCCTGAACTGTTTATGAACGAAGTAGCTAATCATTTTAGACATATTCCCCGACCATAGCTAGATTTAGCCCGTTTTACGACATTTTTGGAGGACTGGAAAGAAGATTTCACACACAGTTCATTCTTTTTGTTGAATCCTACCTCAGCACCCGTGGAGAGAACGTAATTCCTTCTATTTCCTCGTCCCCAGAACTTCATGGAGAATGCAATTGTAAAGCCATTGCACCCGTTTGGATTGCCCAGACATGAAATCTCACCTTAAGAAAATATAACCACAACTTTGTTTTATCCGCTTTTAAGAATCATATACAAATCGGACAAAACTCCATGGGGACCTCAAAAAGGGGGTCTTAGGCGCGGCACATAGATATTAAAAGGTATATTGGGAGAGAACCTCCCGGGCATAATTTCTGTTCCAAATCTCCGGATATCGATATAGCAGCTGGGTGTTACCTGCATTAAGAAAATCTTGTCGTCCATCAAACTCAATAGCCTTTCCTTGCACTCCATTTCCGACAGTCATAACGGAGCCATCAACAAATGCATAACCGTCAACAATAGCTTTATCTTGAACTGTGTCCATTGGCCAGAATTGGATGGGTTCTGGGATCTCGACGTGAGCTATATCATCAACTATAACAAATAGGATAATTAAAATCAGGGCTGATGACTAGTATGCTCCATACAAACGACCATGTAAGGATACAGGTTTGGGATATTTGAACAAATTGAAACTACTAGTCACATCTAGCCATCCTTCAAGATCGAACATTATGGGATAAATTGGAATACCATTGGACCAAGTGGAGGACCAATAATGCATTTAGCTGCTGACGACACTACTTTAATTCTATTTAGCGTATCTTTGGACAATTCAGATATAGTGTACTGTATATTTTCTGGACAAACAGCTTTTTCAGAATAAATCATGAGATTGCATTAAATAAGATTCTCATCATTGACCTACTTGGTGATCCATCCTTTGAGCATTTGAAGCCATCTCCAGCGAACCCTTGCAGACAACTGCATTTGCTGTCGATACATGTGGCAAACTGACTGCAGTCGGAACAGGAAGTGGGAACTAAACATATGGATATAGCATGTATTATGATTAACAATTTTAAAACGATTTTGGAAATTATCATCGCTAAATTAATTTTCTGTAACGAAGAAGTTCATCGGGCGTTTTGAAATTTTATCTACTGTTTAGTGTCATAGAAGTTTTGCGTTTATTTATTCTTGTACTTCAATTTGCTTATGTTTGTGGTGTTATTTATTCAATTGTGCGTTTGTGTTGCTCGTGTGCCCGTCGTACCTGTTGTAAACGTGCGGTATATTTCCTCTGTGTTTAAGACTCTCTCCCAGAAGTAAACTTCATCCAATCCACCAGTATAGTAATGTAAAGGACAATGAGGAGCCTTTCCGAATGTAAAGCAATTATAAGATGGTACATAATCCTTTTCCATTCCAGTTTGATCCCACGAAACAGGATTACCTAACGGAAAGCAAACACGGCTCATTGAAAGCATATACGGTTAACTAGAACCTTACATCCCATCATGTCATAGGGATGCCAAGGCCGCCAATTTCTTCCCGTGGCCATGGCAACCACCCTACGAATGTTTTCACGCCATGTTGATTTAACGCGCATCATGACGGATCTGCTTAGGCTACCTACTGTATGTTGTTTCATGATTGTGTTAATATTTCGAGATGCCTTATATGTTTCATGTACTTTTTAAGCAGTACCACCATTTTGAATGTAATTAATCTGGCTCGCGTATTTGACTAACAAGACCACCCGAATACAAAGAATCAAAATAATGAGTGTATGGGTGTATGGTGGGACAAGAATAAATTACCATTATGATACAGAACTAATTTTCCCATGCTATGCCATGTGAATGCAATATGTTTCCAGCCATCTTTTCGCAAAATTCCACTTGGCATGGACACCACGAACTGGCGAGTAGATGTCCTTACTTTTACCTAGAATAAACAAATATAAAAGCGAATCTAGCGTACGTTCACAATAGCCACTATTGGACGGATAAGCCGTCTTTTAATTGTTAGGCTAAGTCAATTCGAGAAATGTAGATGAATGAAGATTTAAAGTAGCGTTTACCTTGACCTCTCCATCTTCCCACATTACAATCGAAATTCCCTGTCCACCAAATTGTGTCGTTGCTCTTTCCATCTCAGCTCCACTCGAGAAGATGTAAGTTGGACTATAAAAACAAGATCTGATTTATGTATTTGATATTTAGCTAATATATCTCGCTCAAAAGTAACCTGGTCAAAATGTCAAATTAGCATTTAAGGATGATTTGTTTGTTACGATTTCTTTTAAATTTCATGTTTGTAACAAAATCCTGATACGTTATACGAAACACTATATCTAGTGTGTTATTAGTTCATTCTTACACATCATTTTGATTTTGTTGCTCTGGTTTTATCCAGAAAGACATAGTGAGTCCTTCAATGCATTCTTCAGGTTGGTTCAAACATGGCGTCGCAGTTTCACAAACTTCCAAATTTGTTCTTTCTGCTCCATTGAAATAAGCAGCATTGCCATCTCTTCCTGGTATACTCGACACTTCTCCCATTTGAAAGTCTCCCTGTTGGAGTGGCTCATTAGAACAGAGAAATCCATTTTCAGCAGTTGATTCCATGTTGCAAGCAAATGTTGCTTCCAGCATCAGTGGGTCTACAACTGTTACCAGCATATTAAAATATTAATACTTAGAACATTTTTTGTAAATAAATATCATAAACAATTCTGAAAGAATGTCATACTTTTTTGTCTTCCCAATTTCAGAAAATACCCATTTGATGACATAGTGACAAGGTGGCACACACCACGGACATGTTCCACAATGGACATATAATGGTTTGGTTCCACTCATGATCATGTGACAATCATTTGTTCTGCGCAAACTGTCTTATACATGTAAAATAAACGCACTCTTACCACGTGGTGGGCAAAGTTGTTCATTGCATGCTATTAGTTGTGTCCTATCACCTTCACAGTCCATACCATCGAATTGGGGTGTAGGATTATCACACGCCCTAGTTTGGTTCTGCATACCCCCACCACATGTCACACTGCAGCCCCCTACGTTTTCCCAGTCTCCAAAGCCACCATCAACTAGGAACAAAACATTTGTCAATTTTGTCTTTAGGCATTACATTAATTTTTGAGGGGAGGGTACATTAGCGGCATATTTTGGGATATGAAATACGAGCTTTTAGGTTTAAAAATATGGAAAATAAGGTGTAATAATAAGAATAATACGAGAAAAAGAAATGTGGGATAGAGTCTCAAAAATAAGGAATATTTACTAACTGATATATTTAGATTTATTAAGTTTATTACAAATATACAAAGCAAAATTCAATTGTGAAAAACGATTTATATATGACTGATTATGAAAATGTTAGATCAAAAATTAAAAATCATATATGTATGTTGATAGAAATAAGAGAGCATATGAAAAGTTGTTCATACTTGGGCATTGTATGATTTCACATGACAGTGTCTCTGATGACTCTCCAATGCAGTTATTGATCCCTCCGTATAATGCAGGAACGCACACTCGACTCCTTGTCTTGCTCCCTTCACCGCAAGTTGTACTGCATTCAGAATATTCTCCCCATTCTTCCCAATATCCATCTAAATTATTACGCTATCATTTAGCCAGTGAACATTGTGACACGGTGCATTAACTACTACGAGCCACAATACTTCGTATATCAATTGCACAATTTAAAAATGTTCATGAATGATACAGACTACATAAATTAGTGCCTATATTCAAAGGGGTTATCCTTGCATGTCATGCCTATTTCAACAATTCTCTGACTTAGTTTCTAGATAATTGCTCTATATATAAAGGTCATCTGGCAGAAAATGAAAAAACAGACGTGCTTTAAAAACCTGTGGCATTTCTGCATACTCTTCAGTAAGTACAAACTGTATTTGATTTAATATCTCAATTCTTTTTTTTTCAGAAAATAGAATTAGAATTGTAAAGGAAAACATTAGCACAATGCTTGGAATATTCTTCAATCCAGTCATTTAGTTGACATGTTGTTCGGCCCATGAATATTTCCATAACAACGTGCATACATGACGAAAGACGCACCAATAGGACAGAGTATGCCCTCATCACATTCGACGAACTCTTTAGAGCTTCCAAAACAATTTGCGCCTCCATATTGTGGCTGTGGGTTATCACAGAGACGAGTTCTTGTCGACTCCCCTACTCCACAAGTTACACTGCATCCACCCTCTGTCCAACTTCCCCAAGCACCATCTAAAATGAACATTAGAATGGTTTACCCATGGACAACTTAATAGAGGTAATGATTACTGCTGATCGTTTATCAATGTAATGTGAAAAGTACCGAATGTACAACAGGGTAGCCAGAAAGAAAATAGCAAGTAACAGTAACAGAACATAATTAGACAATATGTTACCGAATACGCTAGAGATCATAATAGGATTGTTAGAACACGATGTATGCTCACTTGGAGGATAAAGAATACAAATATTGGAACAAAAATAGTGTTAGAATATCTCACATAAACAAGCATTAATGTAATCATATTCAAGAATTTGAAATTAAAGTGAATTCTTTTCATTCTGCCAAACTCATTTATTTGCTTACCAACGGGACACCTCTTTACTTCACAATCGCTTTGTTCCGTCTCAAACAGACTTAACTCTCCAGCAAGGCTCACACAGTCGTTGCCACCAAATTCAGGTGAAGGGTTAGTGCACGATCTACTACGAGTTTGCGACCCGCTTCCACATGAAGCCGAACAACCACCCCATACAGACCATTCATCCCATCCCCCATCTGCAATGGTTAATCAAGATTAACACAGTTTTCTTTCCAAGGAGTCTAGAATCTGTTTTTGATATAGAAATGGTTTTAAATGAACTGACATCAAATGTTTTTTGTTGGATGGTCAGCATGTCGTTTTGAAGTTCGTTCAAACGATTCTCATACAGAACCTTTAAATACTGTATTGAATTGTATCTGAACTTAACTGATTCAGATCGTATGTGGATACATTTACATCCGTTACCTGTCTTTCAAAATGGCTGACGGGTAGTGACGAATGTTATATTCTTTGCTTAATAGTCGATTTAAACCACTTTCTCGTAAACATATGGCTTTATCAATTTGAGTTTTTGATAACAACAAGCCTTAATGAAATTCTACAATCCGGTAATAGATCCCATCTTTTCCTAATATAGAGAATTCCAAGGAATAGTAAAGGCTCCCATGGTAACATCAAGGTTCGGTTTGGCTTAGATTTTGAACTTGACAACAGCAACGCCAAAGCATAGCAAATCCCATCGAACAGCCAATCGTAAAACTAGAAAATGGCAACTCCACGGAGTAGCAAATCCTAACGAACACTAATAAATCATCAATCTGTACATTCACAATGGAATATTTACCATCTACTCTTACCTTCAATAAATATTTTAAATCATTGTGGTATCATGTAACCATACTTTCAAGATAACTCTTAAGTAATGGCGAATTTCTGCTCTAGTCAGCAATTTTGAATTTTCAGAGGCGCAAATCAGAAAAACAATGCTATAATTGTGATCTACTCTGAAATTCCTTCAATTTGAGTATAATATAACCATAAACAATTGCGAAATCCCGCATTATGCGGCCATTTTGAATTTTTTGAGGCCCGAATCAGAAAAACGTTACAATATTTGCAATCTACTCTAAAATGCCTTTCATTTGAGTATAATAAAGCTATACTTCAAAAACATCTCAAAATTAACGCAAATTCCTGTTTTCCCGATCCCCCATTTACGGCCCCTGGGGGTCAGGGTGAAAAACCCGGGATATATGTGAACTAGATAGATGTTGTTAATATACTACCAAAATTTGCGTAAAACTGTTCACCAATATACATCTTTCCACCAAATATGAAATAAATCTGTCAACTAGTATTCGAGTTATCATCCGGACAGACGGACGGACTGCCTGACTGACTGACTGACGAACGGACGGACGGACGGACAGACGGACGGAGGGCTTCACTATATCCCTACAGAACTTCGTTCGTTGGGATAATAACACACAAAATGGCCACCATTTTCAAAATGGTTGTCATCAGAAAGTGTAATATGCTTCTAAGTAGACACAAAACATTTCAAAAAAAATTCACACACGTACATGTAAATGGCGGCCATTTTTCAAAATGGCCGTCTACTTGCCAAAATGTCTGTGCTATGCTAATGAGTATTCACATATCAAATATAAATGAAATCGCTATTACATTTTGAAAAAAAATTAAAAAAAACGTATAATAACACACGTAAAAATGGTGGCCATTTTTCAAAATGGCCGCCCACCCCCCAAAGTGTCATTAGACAGTGTGCCATGCTTATAGTATTCACATATCAAATATGAACAAATTCGCTCCACTACTTTTCGAGTTACAGTAAAAAACGTAAAAATGGCGGCCATTTTTCAAAATGGAGGCAACTTTTCCTCTTCAAAAGTGTCTTCGTTCGATGGGATAATTATTTTCTTGCCTCTCAGTTTTGTTCATGTCAAGGCTTATGTGTATATTTTTTTACTTTATAGAACTGATTCAATGATGTCTAACGCGGGTTCTTGTTTTATTGACTGTAACATACCAATTGGGCAATTAATTCCAGTATCACACGGGATGGAGTCATACGATTCCCCAAAACAATCTGAACCTCCGTATTGCGGCTGAGGATTGTTGCACAACCGAGATCGAGGTAATTTCCCTACGCCACAGTTTGCGTCACATGTGCCGTTTATCCATTCAGACCATCCACCATCTTAAACGCAGAAAGTAAACTTGACGAATGACTTAATTAGAGTCAATATATTTCAAAGCTAGATATTCACTTAAAAACTAGCTATAAAGACAATCAATACTGCTTACCAACAGGGCACTTCCTCTCCTCACATTCCTGAGTTTCTGTCTCAGGATCAATAGTGGGATAGCCGTCGTTGCCCACGCAAGGGTTACCGCCATGTGTGGGTTCGGGAGCAGTGCATGTTCGGGAACGTGTTTGAGTCCCCACACCACAAGAGGAGGAACACCCACTCCACTCAGTCCATATATCCCATTCTCCGTCAACTGAATAACAACAAAAATAACCGATTGCAATCTTAGCAAAGTTAACGTGAATCCCAATTATCAAAAATATATCAGAATTCCGCTACCAATTAAAATACCAATAGTCATGACAAAATCAAAGCAATTCTTTCCAATTCTTATTCTTCTACAGATTTATACAAACCAGCTTCACATATTGCAATTGTAATTTCTAAAAAACTCCGATCTCACCAGGGCATGGAATGATTCCGCATGGTGTAATATCCGTTTCAGCCAGGCCATTTTCAACAACACAATCTGGACCGCCATCTTGCTTTGATGGATTACTACATGTTCTATGTCTTGCTTTTGTACCGTCATTGCCACATGTTGCTGAGCAGATATCATATGGTCCCCATTCAGACCATTGAGCAGCTACTGGTTCTATACAAAACAATATATAAGGTCATTTAGTACTCCAACCATTTTTCACCTTTTATTATGTTTCTTTGATATAACTGAACAACAACATGTTACTATGAATGTAACCCTGTAGATGTATCTCAATTTTACACATAGGCCGTGTAACGATAAGATTATACTAATAAATACATTTTTGAACGAAACAGAACACAAGTTGTATAATATACAAATTAGATAATCAGCAGTATGCCGAAATAAAAAAGTAGGTATGTAACACAGGGCACAGGTGAATTACCTGGGCCTAATTGATATACTTGCACGAACTCTCCTATTTCTGCAGTCTCACAATTTGCTGGGCCAAATTCCATATGGTCATATGGTTGAAGATCATAGTAACAGTAGATACCAAACTTTAATGCAAAGAACTGGGCACCAACCTCAGCTGCTGCCTTGGCACAGTCCTATGAAAACAGTGATTTTTCAACTTGAATATTGTTTAGTCTGTTAGTTGAGCAAACGAGGGTAAAAAAAGAAAGCTTTTTGCCGCAGGTCTCGAACTTACCATAAGAAAGGTGAGGTGTCAGGAATAAGGATATAGAATTTACAGAAAACCAATACGGTTTTCAATGTTGACGTAAACTATATGAGTGGCCACGATGAATTCATTATAGAATCTACAATTTAAGACAAAAGCCTCTAGCCGATGTGTTATGCGATGAAAATTGAACCACTAAAACTGATGAATAGAATCAAGTTTAAGGGAATTGCAGAGTCTAGTGAGTATCAGTGATAACGAATTCAATTCAATTCAATTTATTCATATATTCAATCAATATGTTTACAGATACCAGAGGTGATGCTCATACCCGTACATTAATGCCAAGGAATTGAACTGGCATGAAATTACACAAAAATAGGTTGATAGGGGGATCCATGATGTTAGTTTTTTTAATCAACGAAAATATTCTCCATATAGCACCTAGAAGAAGTTGGTGTAAAGTACCTCAACTGGATTTTCTCGGTCTATGGGGCTAGTTTGAAGAGCTGTCAAATCGTCGTCTTCAGCGTACTCCATAGATGATCCTACAGTTGTTTCCGCGTCTCTCCAGCACCCGACAGCAGTATAAACTGTTTATAAAATACAGTTTTCTAATTCGATGTAAGAGTTTAATATGGAGACTTGGAATTAAGTCTATTGCCAGATAAAGTTGTTCTCCATTTCAACTTATCCCCAATAACGTTGATAAAAGCCCGGGATAAAACTTTGGTCCGTTGTTTATAGATTGATCTGTGTAACAATTTTAGATATAAACAAGTAATTTCACATTAAAACCTCTATGTAGTTGAACGTACTACTACCATATTAATTATATTCGGACATATTTGATGGACTGACATACCAATATCAACTGGACATGATATTCCTGTATTGCACGATTTCTGCTCGGTATTTGATCCAATACAATCCTGACGTCCAAGTCCATTACCAACTGGTAGATTACAGATCCTTTGCCTGATGGTTTTTCCATTTGGTCCACACGTTTCAGAACACGAGCCCCAACCACCCCAAAAATTCCATTGACTATCAATCGGAACTGTGCAAAATAAACATGTTATATATGGCATGTTATTATTATGCATATTGAACTTACTGATGCTCATTACAGTATTATTTCTGCCTTACACGTTACCCTGAGTTTAAAGGGGATTTTTTAAAAGGAAATGTTTTTTAAAAGAATCAGCTAGATCCACTGGGGGTGCCATCATTGCAAGCAATATGTATTCTTTACCATCTCAAATATAAAAAAAGATTTTTTTGAACTAGTATAGGTAATTATTGGCGAATCTCTAACTTATTTGATGGAATATATGCTGCTAAAAGTTAGATGTCATTGTTTATCATGGCGTGGCCATTGCCTTATTTATTCGCCGAGGTTGTAAAACCTAACGTCATATGGCAGAGTGGGACATTCTACGATATGGTAATCCATGTATGCCTTACTTTTCTGAAATGGTGTGTTATCTCTGATCGCTCTATCCATTGCTCGATGCTCGTACATAGTGTTAATAAGTGAGTAATCATTGGCCGACATGCCTTCTCTATTGCCCAGGTCTATATCGCTATTAATTAAACTTTTAAGTGTAATCGTTGCATTCCAATCAACAGAGAAAGCATTTTGTGGATAGTGCATGATGCTGCCAAAGTCATATTCATGGTTGAAATTTTGGATCCAGGAAGCTTCAATCATTTCAAAGTTGTGTTCTTTACCTAAAATCAAATAACCGAGACAGTTAGCAAAATTGGAGTTTTACATGTATTGTATGTATATAAGGGTTATGTACTGGGAGGTTTTGGATACAGTGTTTATCCCAAGGGAAATATGTGTATCTCCCTCGGTCCCAAACCGACCGTACATAACTGGTGTATCTCATACTTGAGTGGGTTTGGGGTTCCACCTTTTTCAAATGACAAGATAGGCCTATACTGTAAAAGCACAATTTATATTTAACATTTTTGTAATATTCCTTCAGTTCAATACAATAGAATTGTAACATTTAAATTTTTTGAAAAATTTTAAACTTCTGAAATTTTTTAAAATTTTTTTAAACTTTTTTAAACTTTTGAAAAAATTCTCAGGAGCGGGATGGATATATCTGCCCGCATTTGGCCTAGAGCGGGACATATACAATATATCCTGCCCGCTCCTCAGATATGATATATATTCCCGGGTGATATCTACCCCAAACCCACTCAAGTATGAAATACGTATGTATATATTTATTGCCCTTTATAAAAAGGAGATACATTCATGCAATTATGCAACATAGGGCTTTCATAGTTCTACCATATCGTACAACAACATTATTCTTTTGCCATTCGTAAATGTTTCAAAAAATATTTCGCATAAACATTTAAAAATGGGCATGAGGCTGAGGTACTAGCTCCCGGATTAAAAAAATGAAAATACCTATGTGTTAATCCATAGATAATCCTTGAAAATGAGAAATATTTTTGGGGGATTATGGTGCAATCTTATAGTAAATAAAATGTTTTAAAAAATATTGTTGTTTTTAGATGAAAAAGATCAGAAAAAGCATGAAAAAACTCTGATTTATTCTACAAACAACTCGCGGTGCTTAGAATTGAAAAATAGACCCTTGCTTACACCATCAATAACTTTCACAGGCTCAGGTCGGTTGACCTTACTAAAGATCTAGCCAGAATAAATCAATAAATGTATGACCATATCAATTTTTCTAATGGTCAAGTGTGTACTTACCTATAAAAAGAGTATATCTCAGTGAATTTATAAATTATTTTTTCTCATAAAATGACCCCTGTTTAACCCCGCTTAACTTAACAAAGCTCTAAAGAATTTGGCTTAAGTAAAAAATAAATCAAGAACTGCGTGTTTCAAAGTATTGAAAACATGGGTTCTTGAACGGGACATAACACCCTAATCTAAAACTTCAAGAATTTAGAGGTTAAAATTAGAGATTTCAAGCTATAATTCTATTAAGATGGGTTCATGTGCCAAAACAGTCGATCCATGGATATATATCATTTTGAAAATTGGAATAGAGAAAGAAATTTATGAGGTCCTGCAACTCACTATGATAGAAAATAGATTCTCAAAATGAAAACTGGACAAATTATAATTAATTCTCATTTTAACTTACAATACTTACTCAGGCATGTTTTCTAATAATAGGGAGTTTAAGCTTGCGTATAAAATCGAAACGCCAACCAATACGTATGACCAATCGCCCATGCAAATGAATCGCTTAAATATTTTACGTTCAAGTTTAGGTTGTGAAAAACATTGCAAGCTTAATCTCCCTATTATTGGTCATTTGCTGTAACATATCGTTTGTGTTATGAAATATCATTATACTCCCTAAAATCTTATCCATTAATGGAAAACCGCTAAAAATCAGTAATATGGCCACCCCATTGAGCTGTCATCCTTTGATATCATTATCATCATGAAATACTTATCTTGCCTCAAAAACTCCATTACTTTTTCTCTGGAATACTTTGTACGTGCCGTTTGTCTTCTTTTTTGAGGTTAAATAGATTGGGATGTTTAGTATGTATAAAACCAAAGGGTATATTACCCTACTATCACACCAAACTAGTTCTCACTATATACGTTCTCGAAAACGGGCTTAAACTGTGTACGAACGAACTGGACGTACTTAGAACCGTTTGGGGTCTATTTACAAACTTCATCGAACGTACTCGAACGGGTAGGTCCTCCAGAACTTAGAACATGCTCAAAATGTTCTCTTGGTCGTCACGTTCTACAATTAGAACGAGTGACAACCTACTAACGACTGGACGTACTGCGAACGGAACCGTCGTACTTCAATCCTACGTTTTTACAACGAGTTGAACTGTCTGAGGACGTATTGAGAACGAGGTAGAACTAATTGTAAACGGGTTAAAACTGATTAAGAACGTATTTATCAACGAGTTAGCAAAAATATAGCTATCACGCCAAGCAAGTTGCCACTGCGTTCTTCAAAACTGGTTTTAAACCGTGTGCGAACGGAATGAACGTAGCTACAACGTTCTACGGTCTGTTTACGAACTTCATGGACTTTCCCGGACGTGGAATGTGATTTAGAATTTTGAATCGATTCAAAATTCGATGGCGACCATACCGTTCTGTAATCAGGTCATGATGACCTTCTAGACTAAGGGACGCGTTATACTACGTTGCACACCGACGTGGTGCGACCTGAACGAACTGCGAATGAGATGGACGTATTGAAGACTGTTTATGAACGAAGTAGCTAATTATTTTAGACATATTTCCCGACCACAGCCAGATTGAGCCCGTTTTACGACGTTTTCGTAGGACTGGCAAGAACGGGTCCCATAGTGTTCGATGTAATTAGGTAATATCATAGAAAAACACGTGTTCAAACAAAAACAGGCCAAAACCCCGGGGCCAAAACTCACCCTGGATAACATTTTCCATTTGAATGTCAAGGTACTGGTCTCTGTCCCTACGCTGGTGCTCATGGAAGATTCCAATCGCATGCATAAGCTCGTGCTGCACAGATCCCTTCTGCCAGATGGTGTCTGATAAGCCAAGTTCCTGGTAGTTGTGTTCATACATAGGCGTGCCTGGTTCAAGGTAATACCAAACGTTGCCGATAAAAGACCAAGAACTTAAATAAATGAAGAAAACTATGATAAAGAACTTACTCATACTTAGTTCAACAAGTTAAACCCAATAACACGGCTTTCATTTATAATCTGAGTGTTCTTGTTGCCGTGGTTGGGTTTAACTTCCGTGCTATGCTTTCATTGGTTGCAAATTCTCACTATCAGTTATTAATAAAACGCGCATAGAATTCTATGCGCTACCATAGGCCATCATTAAATTTTTTTGCATCAAGGGCCGAATAGGCACGGATGTTAAACCTAGGGCGGGCCACAAGAAATGTCAGATAAGAAATAAGGCCCAGACGAGGTTTAACTTGTTGAACTAACTCATACTATACACATACAAAAACACTGATATCATGGGCTTTCAAGAGGGTGTTATATTTTGACCAATGAATTACTATCCGTGTATAACTGGGCCGAAAGTACATCACTTATATATCTTATTCCATGGTGTGACACTGGGATGTGAATAATACATTGCACAATATAGGGCAGTAACATTTGAACCGTGCAATTTCTACTAGAAAATTCAACAAATCAAGAGAAAGGGATTTCGATTTGGAGAACCAAATTCATCTGCATATTCCGACGTTGTCGATCAATATCGCCAAAGATTTTCATATTTTTATGTTTTGTAGATGTAAATGGTCTCTTTTAATTTGTTTACTTTAATTTGTTTTACTAATTTTTAATGATGGTATTTTTTAATTTTTCATAAAACATGTTAGCGAATTCATCTCTATCATCATCAAGAGTCGAACACATGTCTAATAGTCTATAAGAGGCATATTCAATCAAACGTAAATTCATTTCACTTTCGACATTACTGCTGGTTATCATCACATTTTTGGTACCCTGCGTGCAGAGTCTAGTTAAACTACGACGAAGACGAAGCTCTCTTTTAAGAAGTGAAGTCAAACGAATGCAAAGGGTACATTTTTGGTGAAGGTAAAAAACATTTTTTTCTCACAGCTTCATGAATTCGACCAGCTCTTGGTGGTTGCTTTATCAACAACTGAGCAATATCTAATTAGGTGCAAAATAGTTTTAGCCTTAGCCACAGTTAATCAATGATTAGTCGCAAAATTTGCATTTGGGTTTACGATGCGTTTGCGAATCGGCCATTTGCACTGGCGCAACTCCTTCGTTGCGTCGTATCATGGATTTGTGATAGCGCAAATCGCAACGGCACCCCGGAATAGCCTGACAAAGGTAAAGTCAGATACCGTTGTCACAAATGGCGGACATAACAGTCGCTTCAAATAGATTTTCATGAACTGTATGTTTAATAGAGCACCTAGACTAAATTCTTTTGGAACAACAACCAATCAAAGTGTCTTAATACTCATTGTACAGTTAATAATGTTCTACCATCGAAATAAAGTCTTTAAATTAACCGATCAAAATGAGATACGGGACAACGGACACTGTAATCACCATATGCCGCTTTCTTTCAAATTCAGATTCCATTGTCATTGACAATATCGAAGACGCTATATTGTGGCGAATCACGACCCAATTTGATCGAAAATGGGATTTCATATGATACATGTACATTATCACAAGAGCTTAAAACATGCACAGAATTAGCGGCGATAAAATCCCATGAAATGAGGATCAAGTGATTAAACAGTTGAAGCGACGGTTATGTCCGACATTTGTAACAAAGGTATCTGACTTTACCGTACAGTCCTGATACAAATTAATTGATAAGTCGTATAGTTGGCATATTTTCTTGAATTTTAACATTTAATGTCCCAAACTACCACAAACTGCAGAAAAGTATACACCGTAAATCATATTTACCAAAATGAGTGTCTCCGAGCTTCATACCAGCGCATAATGCATTTATCACGAGTTTGAGCTGAAATTTTGAAGTAAGGGTAATCTCCGCCAGGTTTGTTTATTGAGATTAGCTTTTATGGTATATCCTCAGAAGCAAATAATTCTTTTCCGCAAAATAATCAAATAATCTGATTGGTTTAAACTTTGCTGCGCATGCGCACAATGTGCGCCATGTTTTTCTAGTGATTTCGTTTCGTTTCATGGAGTTAACGTTTCAGTGTAACTTCCGCAAAAATGGCAAACCAAGGACGGAATTAACAGGTAAAATCACTTCGAAATTCTAAGAGAACTTTTTACCTATTATAGCAAAATTTTTGCTTTATTTGTGCATTCTATCTGTAAGATAAGAGTCTCAGGAGTATGTAGGCAAATTCATTTTGGTAGGAGCAATCTGTTTACTTTGAAAACGCACCCTTTATTATTTTGTATCAGCACTAAGTTATAGTCAGGCTATTCCGGTGTGAACGGGAACATCACTGATTACTTTTAGATTGATCCATAAAACAGTTTGGATTGATAACTTGTATGTAGACAAGACTTTACAGCCAAAATCTTAAGACGAAAAATCCAGATTGCACAGAATTAATCAGTTTGTAAACTTTTCATTCATATCAAAAAAGCAATGAAACATCCCTAAAAATTTCAGATCAAACCATCAAACTGTTGGCTGGAATCGCGTAGACGAGACTAATAAAGTCAAGTTTTCGGGGCAAAAAGTCAAAAATGGCCACTTATAAAGATTTACTCTGTGTGGGGCACTACATTGTTTGTGTGCTCGTCAAATACTTACAAATCGTTGAAGTTTCCTATCATGATGAAGAACGGGCGTGCTGGGTCATAATACCGCTCACTTTCTGGGATAAATGTGATCTCAATAAAGTTTATATACGATTTGGCATCCATATCGGCGATTGCTTCTCTTATAAGTTGAACTGTTTCAGGGCGAAAATTCGTAGGATCTAGAAAATATCAAATAAAGGGCACAATTATAAAGGTGGTGGATTTAAGCGATATTGAAATATTTCTGAAGTGTAAGTTTCTATGGAAACCTAGAATTTTGCTTATTGTAATGATATTATACGGTTTGTTGCAATGTTGTAACCTTGGAGTCGTGCAACATTACTTGAAACAAGTTTGCAAACAAGCGAGCCTATTTTGTAAACTGGCTCAAGTTGAGTGGAGTTTGAGTGGTTTTGAAAAATAAGCGCTTTGTTTTTTGTAAGCAGAAATACGAAATACTATTCTAAATTATAATATGTCTCATATGTATTCTAGATGCTCATTGGCTTATTCATGGTCATATGATATAAAATAGATGAACTAATTCCCTAGAAAGTCCTAAATCTCTGCTATCAGGGAAGATAAAATGTACTAATCACCAGTTAGGTCATGTGACCAGTCGTTAGTACGTCTTCCCCGATAGAGATTATAGGAGTTGAAAGGCAAAAGCCCTTTAAATGCTAATAAGAACCTGTCAGCATAAAAAGAAAGGACAGGTGGCACTAAATCCCTCTTTTGCCCCCCCCCCCTTCAAAACAAGTATATAATATATAGAGATGGAATTGTAGAGGAAGTATGACATATTACAAAAAATGTGCTTTTTGAGAGTTTTGACATTTGACCTTGATACTTGGATGGTTTAAAGGTCAACTTTGTGAGATGCTGTTTTTGTCCAAATTTTCCCATTTTCGAAGAAACAAAAGCAATTGGCTTAATTTTGATTGTGACTGATAATAATACATGGGAATAGAAATAAAAATATTTCAATAGATTCTCACGGGCAATTACGTGGAAATGTTAAATACCCATATACAGGGTGACCAAAAAACAAAACCCTCCAAAAATGAAATAATTTATTTAATACATAATGCAATCAGCTTCATTTTTCATATACAGAAACTACTAAACTACTATCTATGGATGACAATGTGAGACCAAATTTGTTACATAACATTCAATATTTTTTCTTATTTTTCTCTTTCAAGAATGTTCCCACTTTTGAAAGAAAATAATTTTCATGTCGACCAAAAGGTTACATATCACTTGTTTAAACCCATCACATTCTTTTAGCTTCTTGTTAAGCTGCATTTTGTGAGTATAGAGGGTAAGATCATCAATGAGGAAGTCTTCTAGTAACCTTTAAGTCATCTTTGGGTTTGGTATATTCTTTGAAACCTCCCTAGATAGGTGTAGGATCATTTTTTCCATCCAGATGTTTAACAGTTCTCTTTTCTTCCTCTTCCAACTCATTATTGACCTTGACTGGTCATTCTGCTGTCTTAATGATTTCTTGAGAATTCATCCATTGGATGAGCGTTTGAGGTGTTCTTGTCAGAGTCTAGGAATTTTGGTCATCTGATCTTTTACTAGGTGTTTTTCCATTGCCCATTCTTCATATTTCAATTTAAATATCAAGTGAGACTTTCATGTCTTCTTTGGAATTTCCTTCTGAATTTCTCAAAAAATTTCAAGAAATGATTTTAGGATGTGAATATTTTTGAAAAGTGCCCATGAGCAATTAGGATGAAATAATTGCAATCAAACAAGGATTTTCTCATTTCAATTGCTTCTCGCCAGTTTTTTAACATGTTCGCCACATTCTAAAGAGTAACAGGCTCACTAATAACGTGTAGTAATCGACCACAGAAAAAGTCTTTCAAGAAGTAAAAGATTGGTATCGATATGGTGAACTTAATTCAACAATGTTTTTCTCTTAATGCGAAAATAATTTTTATATATTTCATATAATTGCTTTTGTTAACTTTTTTGTTTTTAGTGCAATTTTTTTTATTCCTCATTACCAATTCTTGAGCATGAAATAAACTGTGGGATACCAAGAACAAAAGAAATGTCTGATGTGCTTTCTAGAACAATAAAGAGAAAGGTATATTTATTTCAAATGATATTGTTACCATTCAAAAGATGACCATTAAATTGACTATGTGTAAAATTTTCAGAATTTTTTGATGACTGGTTAAAGAGAAACGTGTGTTCAAAAGGTTAACCATATCGATACCCATCCTTTGTATGTACCTATCATGTAGTGGATCTCAGCATTTTCCCACTCATCCTCTTGCCACGTCATGGCGCTTCTTTTCTTTCGGGAACTGAAATACATTTTATTTAATTGAGATACACACACGTTTCAAATGGAAATGTCACACAATAGAAAATGAGAAAGATGTTCATTTGAGATCACACTTGACTGAATCGTTCTAGAGGCCGTTTCAATAGATAATATGTGTCATAATTATTAGATCTATTAGTTCATCATGCTGTCTGTCACCAGAGCAATATCGACACAGTGACAAAACATGACCAAATTATCCCGGGAGTACATATTTCAAGCAGGATAGTCTTCCGATGAAGTGGGATGTGTTTCAATAAAAATACACGCCGTGGCCCGTGAGTAATGAATAAAGAGGAACTAACGAACGTATAGAACCATCCTTACGCTAAACTATCCTTCTTCCCACGCCTGACTGGAGTAATGCCCTTTTCCTTGAAGTATTGTTGTTTCGCTGTATATTTCTGATCATCTGAAAAAAGAATGTACTTTTCAAATACACTTTTGATAATTTTCCCGTGAGCAATGAAGCTTATTTGTTTTATTTTAACAACAACATAGTTCGAATTAATATACTGAATATTTTACGTTGCAATGGTAAACTATAAGTATCAAGTTTACCTTTATTCCCCTTTATTATTTCATACACTGGTAAGTTTTTGGCGTTTTCTGCTCTCTTATTTAGTTCATCAGCTTTCTTGTCACGAATCGACTTTATAAAAGGGTCCTCTGTAAATATAAAATTCCAATGTACTGTTGAAACACACAGTCTTCAAAGATACAATTTATTTTACTCCGATTCCAAATTAACTAAGATCAAATAGAATCAGAAAGGAGTTTCAGCCGATTAAAAGGAATAAGCAGAAAGAGGTTCCAAAATTAACAGCTCTTTAAAACAACTATAGTTCACAAAGAAAAATTACTTACGCACTGTGGATTGTTCACAAATGAAATGGAATTCTTTTTTACAGTCATGTTCTGCAAATTCAACGGTCACTTTATTTTTCGAGTCCATTGAAAGTTCAAAAGCAATGCAGTCACCTCCACGGTAGTTTTTCGTATACGCCTTATCAAGACCCTGTAACAAACGACTGCCTTGAAATGTCAATAGTATTAAGATGCTGAGCTACAAATAATTTGATTTTGAACTTAAAGATTTTCTAATTAAACCTCCAATAGATAAGATACGTTAACCAAATAGATATCCATGGAGGCTTTTTAACTTGGGGAGGGGGTATCATACGTTTGAAAACATCACAAACGTCTTTAAAGCTACATGCATACTTCGCTTATCGCATTTCCTGTCATGATGTCTCTGTACTCTCTAACTCCACCACGATCACGAACTCGCTGACCAACCCACAAGGTGTGTCTGAAATGAATTTATCAGGTAAAATCAACTAAAATAAATTATGACATCACTCCACATGCTCTTCACCCAACTGTGTAATTTGAATTTATCATGTATAGTCCATGGTATGACTTCCAAATATGAAGGATCCGTAGCACACTATAGCGCAACAACATTTGAAACAATATTTAAGGAGGTGCATATATTTTAATTCTTATAAAATACCATTTGCTGAAAAAACTTCCGGCTTTCGGGTCGAAAAATGTCCTTCATCAAAAGGAGCCAAAAAACGTAAATATTTTGATTCGAACTTTTACATTTTATAAGACACAGACAGTTATTCTAAGCATACGGACAAAAATAGATTATCATAATGTAAAAAATAACTATAATTTTACTGTAAATGTCGAGGTTTAATTAGTGTAATTACACAAGTATGCTTTTCAGATTTTGTTTTCAAATAAGAGCCCAGCAGATTCAACAATATTGTATGGAATACATGTATTTAGGTAATTTATGATTGCGAACATAAATAGTTTTCTTACCATTTAAAACATTTCTGTTACCAGAATTTATCCATATTGTCGCAAGAGGTCAACCAACAAATTATTGTTCATGTTTTATAAAACATAATACAACAAATGGGTAAGATTTATATCTAATTAAATGTTACAGGGGTATTGGAATGTTCATATATTCCAAGGGCATGTCTAATAATTAATTTGAGTCATATGCAATCGAACGCCAAGTACAATTCTTCCTCGACCTTACTGCTGGCTATCATCAAGTTTTCATATCTTTAAAATCATGTATATTTAAAATAATGTTGTATTATTTTCTGTTGCATTGTTCAAATTGTGAAAAATTGGGATTTTAGTTTTTGGTAATTTTTTAACCTCTGCTAATGACAGCCATAATTCAGCCTAAAAGCCGGAAGTATATTAAGCGGTTATAATAATTATTAGAGAACATCTGTAGGTATGTTAATATTAGGTCAAATATCTCTGCGCTATAGTGTGGTACTAGCTGCTTTATTAGACGTCCTAGAGATTTCATACCATGGACTTGTATCCCGGGCACTTATCTAGAGACATAATCAGCCCATGTAGTCTTGTGTTGAGCCTATGAAGGCGGAAATGCTTATTATACGATTTTTTGGCATTTTCTGTTTATACATCCACATGCAGAAACTGCCGGATGGTCAATGATCGATCAATGAATCAAGCTTTATTTTCAACAATATGAATTTAAATCTGATAAACAACAGTATGTTATGTTCCAGAAACATTTCTGAACAAAAGATTAAAAATTCAAGATGGCTACCAATATGGCATTTTATTTTTACGACTCATTTCGTGAAAATAGCAAATTAATTTCCTACCAAAAAACAATGCACCAATATTTGATAATGATCTGTTTCGTCAGTCTTTGGAATAAAGTATGTCTCAAGTGATATAAACAAACTTGAACCTAAATAACAATGATGCTGTTTCTTAAGGGTCATTCTTTGGTGCTGCATTCTTGCTAATTTACCTTCACGAAAACGTTGTCAAGACTTTTCATTAGTCAGTTCCTTATTCAGGTGCTACATTCTATGCCTTTGTATACATTAATCCATTCAGAACTAGAGTAATCTACAAGCCAGTGATGCCTTACAGCGTGAGAATAATCCAGTTACACACATATTCCCCTCTGACTGCACAGGCGGTACAGCTGAGGAGGAATCCTTTAGGAGGAGACCAATCTTAATTTTTAGGGGTTTTCACTCATTTATTTTTAGTATTTTTTAAAACACAACAATTATTTCTGTTATGTGATTGATAAAATTCATGTTATGTAATTCATAAATTTCATTTCAGCCGCTGAAACTGCATGATGTTTGTTCCCCCCAGAAATATTCTAATACTTGTGTGACTTATCCCTCCCCATCCAGTCCTAAATCAAAGGGAGACTGACAGCCCCCATAGACTCCAAAAGCATTTCCTCGAGCAATTCTTTTATACTCTTCTTAGGATTCTATAATTGATAAACTTCACCAATACCTCTAGAGTGTGATGTGTCCACTAACTGATTAAGTATTGTGCTTTAAAGGAACATTTTGACATGACAAATCCCCACTCCCCCTCTCTCTCTCACTTGGTCCATTTTTAATAGAGGATGATCACTTTCTTATTAATTCCAAAAGTATTTGCAATAACATTCCCTTATTCAAGAAGGGATTCTACAGTAGATAAATTTCACACCTCTGGGGGAACTGTACATACTTATTGATCCAAAAGAAAATTCTGATGTGACTTAACCCCCTCCAACTTACTTCAACCATTAGTAATTTATATTCCTTTAGTTGTTTTTTTTAAATTAAATCTTTATTTTCACATATTATTTTTTACAGGTTATTAATGTTGTTTACTGTAAGAGAGAGAGAGAGAGAGAAAGGAAGATTGATGATTTTTGTCACTTTGTATAAATTGATGATATTAACGCAAAAGTCTGCTACAGATATTCCATAGTGTCTCATGTTGTTCCATTTTGTTGTTTTTCTTCGCTATGTATTTTTCTTCTTCTTTTTGACTCTGGAGGTATATTTTAAAAGGACCTAGTTTTGGTCTTTTGTCTCCTAATTTTCTTAAGTATATGAAATGTTTCATATGGATCAGTAGCTTATTTTGTTGTCTTTTTTCTCTACTGTATCCAAAAATGATGTCTTTATTTTCTGGTATGTTTTCACCAGCTTCCTCATAGCACGTTCTCAAGAAGTCCTTTGTGGCTGTACATTCTAGGAATCCATGTTCGATGCTATCTATATGGTTCTCATTACATATTGTACACATTGGCGTGTTTTTTCCCTCTATATTCATTTTGTTCAGCATTTTATTGAAGTAAATTGTTCTGTGTAATAATCTGAACTGGAAGTATCTAAGTTTCGCATTTTCTGTTATCACTTTATAAGTGGTGTATATTTCATCCCATTCTTTATAGTTATCCTCATTTACATTTAGCACCCTAAGCCACTTGTCTTGTGCTTTTATTGGTTGTATTTTTATCTGTCTTTTAAACATCCTATAAGTGCTTTTATTTGAGATGTTTGGCAATTGTTCTCTGAGTGGCTTCCAATTTGTACGAATTTTCCTTTAGTATTTCTAGTATTATTTTCATTTTTTTATTTCTAAAATATTTAGAGTAGATAAAGTGTGAACTGTATAATATTTGTACTCTTAAAGAAAATTAATTTTAATGTGACTTAACCCCTCCCCCGACTTCATTCATTAACAAAAAGAGATTAAAACTCATTTAATCCAGGAGTATTGAATAATATCACGTGACCTAATGAAGAAAATACTATTAATGTTGATGTCAAACTCCATACTTCTGGGTATTTTTTCTTTCATAAATTATTCCTTTTGGAGTATAAATGCAAAAACCAAGATTTCAAATTTCATGTCATGGGTCTGTGACTCTGTAGGGACATTAAAACAGACTTCTAACTCTGTAAATAAGTGTGAATTTATGGCACAAGTAGACACATTTTGAAGACAAGTGAAAGAAACAATATAACACTAAAAATGAACCTTGAGAAACACCATTGCTTATTAAATATTAATCCAACAGCATCCTCAACTCATATCAATGGTTATATTCAAGTCATTATTCCATTTGTGTGAGTATCTTGTAATAGCTTCAAATATTGATATGATGTTATCGATGCAAAGAATCATAGAATGAATATTGAAAAACTGGCGGCCGTCTTGAATTTTACGTTTTGGGTTCAAAACATTTTCACTCCTTATACCGTTCAGCAGCAACTTCATCGTCTTGCTACCAAAAATTAAACATTAAATATGTCCTTTCTTTGTGATTTGTTCACACAATATACTTAGAGGTTATGTCACTATGACGTGAAATATGCCTGAGTTCTCCCAATATAGGCCGACCTTGGGAGGCTCTATATTTGGGCAAGAACGAAGGCATATTTCACGTCATAGTGACATAACTGATGTATTACATGCCTTTGTTCCCATGGTTACTTTGTATCAATGACGTGACGTCATGATATTATCATGGTTATTAAAGAAATCTAATATCAAAACGAGGTAAGCGGGCTATATCGGGGTAATCGGGCAATATCGGTGGATATAGCTCGCTAACTTTCCCATTAACTTCCATACAAATGCTTCGCTAGGTATGTAATACACCGTGATATAACTCAAATATATAGGATCACACCCTGAAGATTTCATTGTTCTATGACATCATTATCCTATTATTTTTGTTACCATGGTAACCGGTGACGCACCAAGGTGGAGCTCAGAAAAAATTCCAAATTTGAAAAATCAACAGTAATTTTACATGATGTTTGGACACTGTATTCATTGCTGAATATGTGACATACTGTAATAGGTTGTATCATTACACCGATTACCATGGTAACGAAAATAACAGGATAATGATGTCATAGAACAGTGAACAAAAATATAAAGAAGTTTCTACGCTTTAAAAGTTGTGAAATCAGACTAAAAGGATAAACATTATATAAACATTTCGTTCATGTACTCGGCGAGTAATATAACCTAGCCCGTGCCCTGCATTACTTATACAGCCGACTATCTTAGAAAGGTAAATTATCAATGTGATCTAAAATTTGATTTGATACAAAATACCTTTTAAGGGTTACCCCAGACCTCAACTGTTTGTTCAATATTTTACAAAGCAACAATTAACAATTCAAACCATAAATGAATAGGGTTCAGTTACTGGGGTTGATTTTTACTCGGTTGAGATGATTTTGAGAGTGAGACGGACTCTGTATGACTTAAAAAATCACAGTTAAAGGTGCAACAATTAGTGCAGGGGGGCTATTCAACGTCCATCGACCAGTGCCAAAATATATTTAAGTTTTGATATTTCATCAATGCTCACATATATTTGTATCATCTACAAAGAAACCCCCTGGATGAACATTATTTCAGCTGATATTCCTCTTGAAACATGGTGAATCTTAAAAATCTATAAGTGGAACCCCCTTTATAGAAGCGTTGACCTGAATTTACACTTCTTAATCCTGAAATTGATAGTTTATCCATACATTTTAAGAAAATAGGGATGTCAAAGAAGATGTAAAAGCCAAATATTGACCTGATAGCTCAGAAAAAATGAAAAATTTCTAATTTTGTCTCTACGGTCCTTGTTGCCCCTTTAACTTATGCCACACAGCCTCAATAGACCTCAATAGATCACTCCACTCGCATTCACTTACGTGGCGTCAATACTTTGCATGAGTGTGGGGAACATATGTTTTTCGAAGTAGTTCCTAACTTTCTTGCTGTTCATGCTGGAGGCAAGATTGGCGCCATTGTGGATTTCCCTACAGATTCTTTCCGCCTCTGTCCAATTCTTCGTGTAATCTTCTAGTATGTAGCGTATGTCTTTCAACTCAAAACCTTCGTGACCAGGCCCATGTGCACATGCCCCTGTTTGATCTGCGAAGTCGATATTATTTGTCATGTTAGTTATTTACTGTATTAACAATTGTTATGCATCACTGGTTATCCGCTCGATTACGCTGGTTACCGAAACTCGTTTCGGTAACAAAATGTCGGAACGTCGAAGGTACAATTTTTCTTTTTTTCCTTATTTCACACGTTGTAGGCAGAATTCCAACGACATTTTTATCATAAACGTGTATCAGTATCATGTGTTTAAGAAAATGTACATATTTGCGTCGAAAACCAGTTAAGATCTGCACTTTTACCCAGTGTGCATACAATGTCAGAGCGGAAGTAAACATAATGCATCAAAGAGAACGTCCAACTCTCGATTAATATAATGAAGCCAATACAACCTACCACCGATGTATTTGCAGATATACACGTTTGGCTCGTTGCAGGATCTCGCTTCTGCTCTGTGATCATCGTTAGTTACTGCCACAACACATTCTCCATCTTCAGGTAACCTTGGAAAATATATATCATGCCTATTATCATCAAACTGTGTATTCTTTTATGTATTAATTAACAATTATAACTTAGAGGGATAAAGAAAGAAATTAGCATTTGGGTTATATAAGAGCTAAGCATTATTACCGAAATTTGACAATGCTAACACAAATTACATACTAATCAAATATATAAATAAATGTGTACGTTTTTGTATTAAAAAAATTAATTAGTTTGACGAGCACTAGGCGACGATTGATTTATTTGATTTATTTTCAAAGCGAAGACCATTGCAAAGAAAATTGCAATTGATCGATTGGTATATGAGTTATGTTTCGGACATTTGGACTGACTGGCGTGCAGAGACTGCCGAGCATTGCTCATGGGTATAATCATGGGCTTTTAAGAGACTGTTGAAAGCCCATGGAGGGAGATCGCAAATCCTTTTTTGAATGACATGTAGTTCAAAAAGAGCCAAAGGCACCCCACGAGATAATTTCCCGATGCTCTGGACTTGTTAAAATACTTAAATTATATGAATCCAAATTAACAATTAAAAGCAATACCAAGAAACTTATTATAAAATTATACGAACATATATTATATCAAACATTTTCACGATACATCGGAGCTCTTAGTTATCAAACATCCGATCCAAAAGTCAGATCCAGATCCAAGATCGAGGTACGGATTCTGGACACTTGTTTGGTAGGATGTTAAATTAGTTATCGGGAAATGCTGCTCACATCTTGAGTTTGGCCCGAGCATAGTGAATATAAAGATCATTCTTTGAAGGTCAATGGAAATTGAAAACTAAAAGTCGTTTAGGAAAGGATTTACGTCATAGATATTGCAAAACTCTTGAAACTATGTTTTGTCTTGTTGAAATCATGTTTAAGACATGTTCATTGTGTAAGGTGAATTGCCATTGATTTTAGAATTCAAACGAATATTTTTAAAACAGATGGTAACGTCTTTCTGAGATGAGCATCTAAAGTCCAATCGTGTTTTTAAAATCAAAATAAATGTATATATATATATTCCACGAGCAAGTTCGAACGTGAGTAATATACATTCTTCACAGGCCCGTAGCCAGGAGGAATCTGGGGAGCGGAAGCTCCCCCTTGCTAGGAATTCCTTCAGATAATGCAGCTTTCCACCATTCTGAGCACGTTTCGTATGAAGTTTTAGCCAAAAGCGTAAAACACTTCCCCCTTGGCAAAAGCTCCCCTCCACTTGGTAAAACCTGGCTACGAAAGTAAACAATACGACAGACGATAGAATAAGGGCGTATGGGTCAACTATTGTATTTTTGTCCCCTAAATATGCAATGCAAAATGTTGGCATTTAAACTTGGAAGTCTTGAAATGAACTACCTTCAATATCACTAGTTTAATGATTGACAAAATGATGACATACCCATTCGACCAATCACGGACGAATTCAGATAGGCATTCTCCTTTTATATATAAGAAGTCACCACTCCTCTTGTGACCAGCTGTCCAATAGTCCATATCCCTAAAACATTTTAAAGATTATATTTCAATTGACAGTGTACAAACCAACATAACTACAAAAACGCACAACTAGTATGACGCTTTCTTTTTCTTTAAAGTCCCCGCCTAAAGTTTGAAAATATTTTTTATCATTCATTTACTATCAGGACTTAAAAAGTGATTTTAGAGATTTTTGAAAAAAAGTTATGAGCATTTCATTTCTCAAATATTCAAATTTCCCGCCATTTTTAAAAAAAAGTTGAAATTTCTTATTCATCAAATATTTCTTAATGCATTTCAAAAAAGATTATCTTTTTAACACCAATGCAAAGATTGAACAAAGGACACACTATTTCAATAATAAAATGCCATATTTAATGGGCCACTTCAATGTTTTAGCATATCAAAAATATTTTGAAACATTAGTGATGTCACTAAGGTACCAAAAACTTTTTGAAAAAAATTGAAATTTTTTTTTCGATGTCAATCTTTTTTAAATATGTTGGACTTCATAAAAAACCAATGTTGATTGTCTAACCAGGTTAAAAGGAAGAATAAATCATGTTTTAGATATCATTGTACCATTGGTTTCTATGAGAACTAAAATTTTGAAATGCATTTTTCTCAGAACCATTTTCATGCACTGATAAGTTCATTTCTCGCTTATTTATGAACCGATTTTCTTAATTTTTTCGGCAAAAAACATGGGAAGATGATTGCTATACATTGGTATGAATTGTGGCTAATTAGAAGATATGAGTGACCTCTAAAAGTTGGTTTTAAATAAATTCACAAATTTTGGAACAAAAAGTTTTCTCATATCACACTTTGATAACATTGGGTAAGACTACAATATAAGCCAAAGTGGTTTAAACTTTATATGGGGCCTTTAAAAAATTAATTTTCAAATGTTGATTTAAGCTTCTGTTTGATAATGATTTTATACAGGTACGAATCATTAAATTCATACTTTCTAGTTAAAGACAATTCGATATTAATATAATAGAAAAATATTTTTATAATATTTAACTGATCGTGAACACAAATAGTTTAAATACATTTCTGTAAAACTAATTTATATACTTTATTTGAATAGAGATTTGCACATTAACTAGATATACTAACGAAGCACATTAACACGGGGTCCATCTATAAGGGACGTATCGAAACCACTACGTCCCGAAAACCGTTAATTTGAATTTAAAACTTCCAGTTGTTTGAAAATCAAGGATTCTGAGTCTCACACTACACCGTTTTCCTTCAAACTTGTTCCGTTCAAACCTTCACAGGAAAACCTTCCAGTCGATGCATTGCTTTTGTGTAAAGAGTCCCTCGTTTTAGCGGCGTTTTGGTCCCCAGCTGTGAGATCAAGCACATTTTCATAGCTTTCAACTATAAGTCTAGTTATCTCGCCAGTCTTGTACACAAAAGCAGTATCAACTGAAAAGTTTTCCTGTGGAGGACTGAAGGGAAATGGTGTAGTGTGAGATTCACAATCCTTGATTTTCAAACACCTGGTATAAGGTTTATAATTCAAATTAACAGTTTTTCGGGACGTAGTGGTTTCGATACGTGCCGTATAGATGGACCCCCTTGATCAAATGATTTAAAAACGAATAGACCTACTTGTTTAATCCTGCATAATTATCCAGCCAATTTCGTTCTTTTTTTGTTTGTTGGCCGATCAGGGATGACCCTGTACTTTGACAATCTTGAGCTGCCTCGAGCCAACTAGCAGGGGTGTTCACAACTTTATAGCACGCAAGCGTTTTTTCGCTGTACGTATATCCAGAAGGGCACTTTAATGAAGCGTCTACAAATGCAATAAAAATACATCATTAGTTCATGATGCATGCTCATGCATTTGCTGATAAATTGTCAAGTAAATATTCCAGTAAAGACTTTCTCAAAATACGTCCAAAATATCTGATTTCTAACAGCCGCAAATTACTTATTACAAGCCCCCCTCCCTTCACTGCCACCAACAAGCTAAACAGATAGTGCTAAAATGGCATTTTCACGTCTTGTTTTTCAAAATGGCATTTTCACGTCTCGTTATTATCTAATGGAAAGGGCATACCGGTGCAAATATCTTTGTTCCGTGGTAAAGAAAAGCTATCAATCACTGTCTCAAAAGCAGGTTTGGCTCCGCAATTCTACTTTTAACATGGCGACCTTGACCTTGACAAAATGTAGCCATTTGGGCGATAATATGTGATTCCCGAGACACCCAGGTGATTCTAAAGTGAAAATGAGTGCTTTTTCGTAATTTTACTTTGACCACGCCTATCAAAAATCGAAGTGGCAAACCTACCCCTCCCCCCATTTTGACATTTTTCTGTCTAAAAGTTTTCTAGATGATATCAAAGTTTAAACAAATTTGTATGTCTAGAAATATTTAAAGAATTAGTGGCATTTTGGTTTGGGTACTTTTTGCTCTACCCCATTTTCACGGTTGCCATGGTAACTATAAGGCTTTGGTAACCATGACAACTTGATTTTTCGAAGGATATCCATCTGATAGTAATTGGGCCAAGTTTGATGGAAAATTGGCCTGGTTTGATATGCTAGCAGTGAGATTGATTGTGGCAAGTAGTAAAACAATTGAGTCCGACCACATCCAAATACAATCATGTTTCGGATCCATTTGCATTTCAAACACTCAAATCCAACACTGCACTCGTATCATGCTAAAGATTACTAAAAAGTGTTTTAGTTGGTATATTGTTTTAACGAACTTATCAAATAAACACAATTATTTAACAAATCACCTCAAATCACAGCAAAACAAATAAAGAACAAAATGATAACAATTTACCAATATAGGTCGTAATGTGCTTCTTTCCATTGTTTCCGTGGGTGATCTGAAGTGATCCCATTAGACATAATATCGCCCTCAATAACGCCCAACTCATGATGGTGCGGCTGTTTGATGTGGCGTACCGTGTTCAATGCTGCATTGATGTGATATGATGAGATATCACCTGTTCGAATTGATCTGATACGATCTCGTTTTGGTTGCGTCCATCATAAGGGTAAATATAAAGACATATCAATATCATATCCGTTCTATTTTGTTCTATTTTATGTAAGGCAGGAACATTGCAAGGAGGTCGAGAATGTTGAACAAAATCGCTGATACGAGACAAACGGTAAAATTTTCAGGGAAGAAATTTAAGGCAACGACGTCAAATCTGCATTTGCAGTCAATACGTAGTCTTAGAATATAAATATTTTGCAAAGAGGTAAGGTAGTGAAGCTTGTTAATGGCAAATTAAATAACATGACAAACAAGAAGTAGAAAATTCATTTGACAAAAATGATTAGATGCTACAGAAGATTTTTGAATTTCATCCTCCCATCCCTCTGGAGAAATGACGAAATCCTAATATTAGCGAACAGGTGAATCAAACAAAGGAACTCTATCAAACAAGTAAAAAATGGTAAATGTTGAATACAGTATTTGATTTATCAAACTTACACAATGAAATACTTCGATTTTTAAGAATCTTACATTGATTTGATAGTACTTAAATCGCATTGAGGTAACCGTTAAACAATATCTTGTTTCCGTAACATGTAAACAATTTTCCAAAATGGCGGAAAAGCGTGCATTTTTACTTTTTTTGTTCTCTTGGTCAATTTGATTCTTGGGAACAACTTAATAATTCCTAGTGATTTTTCCGCCGAGAAGTATTTTGAATGATCTTTTATATATGGTGTCTTGTTTTATATCACTTTCATTCCAGGCGTTGAACAGGGTGTTGTCAGGTTTAAGGTGCTAAAAGATGTGTGCTACTAATCTGAAAATAGCGGCTATCAGGAGTCTTCACAGGACTGTTCCACCAACATGACAAATATAACCTGTTTGCAATTACTATTTATCACAAACGCAGAAGCCCCAAACACCAGTGACAAAACATCAACGGCTAATAATATGTCACCATATCATAGTGGTGACATGAAAATGATTATCTCTAACAACGCAAACAAAGGGACAAATCCAGCAAGCAATATAAACTTTCGTTCCACCATTTTAGAAACATGTAAATGATACGTTAACGACATGTATCGTGTCGGTAAGCTAACTGTGTGAATAGAAGCAATCGATTTTCGCGAAGTTTTACCGATGTTTCAAATCAAGGAACATATTTACAATATAAAATCACCATATGACAGTATAATGATATAAACATACATTGAAGGTCAGAGTGGTTCTAAAATGTAAAACGTCTGTTATTATACAGGCAACTAAAATCGAATATATTTTCATATTTCTATTTCAAGTGTATTCTTTGTGGATTTTTATGACCCGGGGCAATGTTATAACACTGAGTCATCCCAAATGGAAAATTACAATTTCGCGTCCATCTTGCAATTTGTATGTTCGTGCAAAAATTACTCCGAGTAAACACAAAGACAGGCATTGTTCAGTTGGATCCTCAGTTTTTAATATCCCTTTAGATCTCTCACAACATTTACAAGCATCAGATAAAGAGAGGCTCTGATAAACCAGAATGTTCGAAAGGAGTTATTCATGATGTATATTAGTAGTCACAAATCCATAATAATATAATTGAGGATTTAAGCCCTGGACTCAGTGTAATGTGGACTGAATCATTCCTCAAAAAGATGTTATTTCAACCTTTGCACGATATGCCCAGCATCGAGTGTGATGTTTAGGAAATGACGCGTGAATGGAATGAATCAGGCAGAATGCATTCAAATCTTGGGCTTAAATTCTTTTCACACAATGCAAAATATTTTCTACGAAATCACCTAAAAGGTACGAGATCACTAAAAGAACATATTCTAAATGAAACGTTTTTCAAGCGTCAAGTTGGCAAAGAATCAATTTCAATCTGTCAAGTTGTCACCTTGACAACCATTCAACGAATGACGTTGGATGAGTTATTGCTGATATAATGCAGTGCAGTTTAACAGTGGCGTAGCCAGAATTTGACAGGAGGGGGGCTCGAATATTTTAGGCAAATTTTTTTAGGAGCCGCATAGGGGTGAATTTGGTGGAATTTAGTATATCTCTGTCTAATTTGCTTAAATTTTGCCAAATTTGCTTAGATTATACCAACTTTGCTTAATTGTGGTCCATTTTATTAATTTTTGCCAGTTTGCTCGAATTTAAAGTTTTGCCAAACAATTACAAGAGCAATGGAATTCAGACAAACTGAAATAAATTATTTTGAAAATGAAAAAAAAAATCATAAGACAAGTGAAATATCCCAATTTTTGACCAATTTCGTTTATTTGGAACATTTATGGGCAAAATCTAGAACTTTTTTCAACAAAAGCCTGTTAAAATCCTTTTAAATTTCAACATATTCAGACAAAAACTCCCCCAATTTAATTCAAGCATCGGTTGTGTAATTGAAATTTCTATTTTCCATTACTTGCACAATGTACTTCACATAAATTAGAGGCAAAAATTGTCATGTTTTTCGATTGATTATGACTCTAGATATCAAATTATGGAGAAATAAATAAGCTTCACCATGACGTATCATATTCTGCATACTATGGAATAAATACAGACTTAGTACATCTCTATTCTTTAACGCTTGTAAATGCTAACAGTCGCATCTCCATCTATCATTTATATTATTTCTGAAGTAATAGCACCTCGCAGTTTGTTTGCCAATTATGTCTAGTTCTATGATAGATGTCATATCAGATCCTAATATTATAGTCAATAAAGAGTCACTGTCTTTCTTGACAATACACTCTAAGCTCAAGTAGAATAAGTTACTGATTTAATCTTTTGTCAGTCTATAAAAAATCTTAATATACTTGTCTGCCTTAATATTTTACACATAAAATCTATGCAAGTACGACTGTCAAAAGATAATGATATTATAAAGTGTCTACAGGTTGTCCTAAAACGTTTATGTAGAGTTTGCGATATACAAGTGTTAAATAGTTTGAAAGTGTTCTTTATCTGTCCTTAAAATATTCTGTAAATTCCTATTGTGCTGTGTAAATGGATGTAAAGAAACATTTACTTGACAATTACGATGATACACCTGCACGAAGACAGATTGGGGAATAGCACAACGAACGAGTATAAATGTAAGTAAAATTACGATTATTTCCTTGTGTATTGTTAAAATGAGTACTAAGTGCTTTGTTTTCTAACATTTTCCATTTTCTCTATTGTTTTGATAATTAGGGTCACATAGAATAATCAATATACATACTTGAGGTAAATGTACCACCAATTTTAAACGTCTAATATCCCGTTTCGGGTCTCTTTCCCGGTAAGTATGAAACTTCATTTCAACGATAACGTGCAACCGAATTACAATACCATATTGAGCTTAATGGACAGCTTTTAGTTGCAAGATAACCCACATAGATATGGAAACACATTGTTCTGACAATATTATATAGCACCCGTTCCCCAGTATATTACTACCGTCATATTATCGTTTGACTTCAACACAATTTTACATTTTCAGAAAACCTGTGTCACCTAGGCAACGTCTTACTATTAGGAATTCTAAAGAATGCAGATTATTTGAACACAATTCTAGATCATTTTTATTCTCAACGACGGGGATATCTTTATTACGAAACGCAAATTGCTAATAAAGATTAGCTAAATTGAGATCAATTGGCCTGAATAAGCGCAATGCCGGGAAATTAATGATATCTAAATCAACTTGTTTAATTGAAGATAGAATAACAGTTTACAATACACTTCTTTTCAGTTTTATATTCCCAATATAGGATGGAGGTTGACATCGGCTGATATAATACATGGAATGAACGAAATTGAGGATGGAGAGAAGCTGGGGGACTTGGATTATTTTTCTGAACTGCTTTTGCATCATGATCGCCATTGGCTATCAGGGTAGAGATCATGCCATGTATGTTTGGAAGGAAGGTATGTTAGATTGTTAGTATGTTATGCCGGTATATGTGGTCTTAACCCTTAAACGGTTAGGCTATAGAGAATTACATCGACGGGAGGGGGGGGGGGAGATCTACCCCCCATATGGTCTCGGAAACGACCAATCATAGGAAGGCATATCAATTATCATTGGAAAGCTTTTTCAATTCCCAGTATTTTGAGTCTACTTATAAAAATATCGATGAAGAAAACCATATTCTGAGAACATAGGGGTTCGTCGTTTCAGGTCAAAACCACTGACAATTTTGATATTTCAGTTACTTTGACCAGCCCTAACTTTACTTCTAGGATCACACTTTCAAAAAGAGAATTTTCAAAGTTGATAAACAATTTTAAACAAAATATTTCTAGATGTAAGATTTCAAATATGACACCATTTTGACTGAATTTTGAATATTTAATGATGTAAAAAATAATATGGGGGAGGGGCAGAAAAAATGATGGCCAGTAGGAAGATTGGAGGTATAAATATGAATATTAAAGGACATTGGAAAACAAGTTAGATTAAGCAAGCACCATTACTGATTACTGATGGGGGGGGGGGGGGGGGCGGGGGTGCGATCGCCAAACAATTCTGTTTTTAGCCAGGGAGGGTCCGATTTTGGCATAAACAAGAGATTTGTTTTCATTTTTACAAAAATTGATGCAACTTCCTTCAAAAAGTGAGCAAGAAACTTTAAATAAAAAGCATTGAACCCCCTGGCTACGCCTATGGATGCCAACGCACAAATGTATCTGAGTTAAGTTTTACTTTCTTATTTTTTACTTTAGGTGACTGGGGCAAGTGTGGAGGAGACACTTGTGGCGAAGGTGGTCATGCAACACGCAAGGTAACGTGTACATTTAAGACAGGTTGGCCAACTTTGGATATGAATTGTGATCATTTACCAAAACCTTCGCATAAAAGACCCTGTTTTAAAGTATGTGACTCCCATAGAGGGAACGTCACATGGGAAACGTCGTCGTGGAGCCCATGTCACATGTTTCCCGGAGGGAATCAATGCGTCGGATTGAAATCTCGGAAGGTATCTTGTAAGTACAGAAAATTTGAAGACATGGAAGATTACGTTTGTGGTTATTTCGTTCCTAAACCAAGAGAGACTGAACATTGCCAACTCAACTGTCCACAAGACTGTGTGCTGACATCTTTTGGCAGATGGAGCGATTGCCACTGCCTTACTCTTAACAGATTTAGAACACGTAATGTTTTCGTTGCTCCTACTAATGGTGGCCAAAAATGTAAACAATTATCTGAAATCTCGAACTGTACAGACACCAAGTTCTCTTGCCCAAACTGGAGCCCAAATGACAATGAAAAGAAATACCATGTTAAATTGGGAAAATGGGAATCATGTAAAATACTCAAAGGTCGACGAAGATTATTGTATGGTTCAGTAATAGTAGAAAGGGTCGGCCAACAACGCCGGGATATATCATGTGCAAAGGCAGCCTCGGGAGAATCAGTGTCCATCAAGTAGGTATTTGATTTCTCTTATTATGAAGTCATCTTATATCACTAGATTTGAAAGGTGAGGTGTTATTTTAAGGGTAAATGGCTTTTTAATCTTTTAACCTATTTATGTAATCAACATGTCCTTAATACAAATCTTATTCCAAGAATACCAATCCTCCAATCATGTTGATTCAAAATATTTGAACCTATTGATGTTCCAAAAGCTGTGGGAGGTTTCTTGAAAAGAGGAGAATGTTAGACATTGTTTCTTTTATGTGTCATTTTTAGTTTGAGATATTGGGGAATTGTTTTCCCTATGTCGCCTGCTTACGTTTTTATGCTTTCATTTCATAAGTGTGTTTTGCAATATGTTTGGTCTTTTCCCATTTGGTATTTTTGTCTACATATTCATCAGTGATGGGCCAGTTGCAGTCTTCCGATTCAGCCGAAGTTTGGTCTTACAAGTACCACCAGAAGTCTGTGTATTTCTGTGGAGCATCTATGGAAAATGATTCAATATCAATGCGATTTTAGCATTATTACTGCAGTTTAGTCAGAGATCTTGTGACATGTTATGGACTTTCCAATGTAATATAGGACAAAGTATTGGACAATTAATCTATGCCATAATGCGCCTGCACAACGGAAATTATTTGAGATTAAGGTACAGCTGGAAAATAACATTTTGGTAAAAATTGCTATACCTGCACATGTTATTTTCTTGTACACTATAACGTATGAAGGCATGTGTTTTTCTTGCTTTTTTCAGGAAAGTATCATTACATTGTCTTCTTTTAGTATATCTGGTAAGAAGTCAATGGGAACTCAAGGCAATTCTGATATTTCACACATTCTATTTTTCCAAATTTTCTTTCAAAGTTTCCAGACAACACGGAGCTACCATTGACCTGTTTCCAGGTTTACTAAAAGTAGACAATGTGATGATACTTTCCTGAAAAAAGCAAGGAAATTGACATATGCCTCCATACTAAATTTTGTACCAGAAAATAACAGGTATAGCAATTTTTACCAAAATGTTACTTTCCAACCTTAATGATACAGTAATTGTACAATAGCATGTCCGTTCAATTGTATACGATAGGTACTGCAAAACTCAAGAAAAGGGACGCTTACCTTCCCATTCAAGACTCTGCATGATGCCAAAAGACTGTAAAGTTTCCCCATGGTCACAATGGAGAATAATCAACGAAACGTGTCAACATCCGGAGAAAAATACCACTCAACATGGATATATGAAACGAACGCGTAAAATAGTCAGTCTTCCTGTTGCTGACGGACGCCAGTGCCCACCGTTGTCTCAAAGGAGTCAAATCGATGACAGAATAAATGGTTTTGTATACATACAAACACAAATTCCATGTAGTAGGTAGGTAGGCAATGTAATCATCTACATATTCATGAATTGTGAGGGGAGGAATGGTTTTATACATTACTTATACTAGTTGCGTGTCATGTCATACAAGTTTTTGATGACGGAATAAAGAGTTTTTCCAGTCTCATTTGGTGCATTTTTAGGGACATCCAAAATTTTGAAATTCTCTGTAAATGAGAAAACACAAGAGGCATACTTGAGTTTCAAGATAATTTATCATTTGCGGTTGGTAAATTTCTTCTTTTTAGATATGAATGGCTGATTTCGGACTGGGGTCAATGCAGTTTACAAGATCATACGCATCTAAAATTAGAAAAACTATGTGGAGAAGGGATACAATATCGCAGTGTCATATGTACAGAAGTTAAAGGTGAGTGCCCTTTTAATTCATTCGCTCAGAATACAATTACGCTTCTGGCGTTAGGTTCAAAACCCACAATCGCGCTTTCAGTGTCACTTGTGTGTTGTCTATCTTGTATGATGTGCTTTCAGTGTCACGTGTGTTGTCTATCTTGTATGATGTGCTTTCAGTGTCACGTGTGTTGTCTATCTTGTATGATGTGCTTTCAGTGTCACTTGTGTGTTGTCTATCTTGTATGATGTGCTTTCAGTGTCACGTGTGTTGTCTATCTTGTATGATGTGCTTTCAGTGTCACGTGTGTTGTCTATCTTGTATGATGTGCTTTCAGTGTCACTTGTGTGTTGTCTATCTTGTATGATGTGCTAGGACCATAGACCACTCGGCTAAATCCGCGACGTATCATAGATTATTCCATCATTAATTAATGCAAAAATGGCCTTTTTATTATGACATGGAAATGGATGTACCCGTGTAATATATTACATATTTTTTTGTTCCATGTTAAAGAAGAAATATCAAACGTTGTACGAGAAGCAGATTTAGCTCTGTAATTCTACGTTTAGAAATGATTAATAAGTTCCTAGTACTTTGATAAAATTCAGCCATCTAGGCGATAACGTGTGACTCTTAAAGTGGAAATTAGTCAATGCTTTTTCGTAGTTATACTTTGACCGCTTAGCAAAATATCTAAGTGATTGATGTACCCTCTTTTGTATTGGCTGGCTGTGTTCTAGATGATATATTGTTTGCGAAATATTATAATATACAGGGTGTCTCAAAAAATGTACCCAAAAGTATATCAAGAGCACAGATAAACCAATCAATATTTTCAGACATTTTTTGCATGGTCATTAAGCTAAAACATGAAAGTTTTCTCCCCAATACACCATTTTGATTTCAGTCTTGTCTTTTTGATGCTTTAACCCTTTACCTTTTACACCACATAATCGATGTAACGTCATATTTCGATGACAGCCTGTATCCTTACTGCTACATTGTTCATCACATTTGATAATAATTTCGGTGGAATGTTTTGGATTTCTCTTTGGATGTTGCCCTTAAGTTGTTCTAGGTCTTTTTGCTTGGAATGAGCATTAAAACACTCCTTCAAATAGCCACAGAGAAAGATGTTTGAGGATGACGATGTCAGAACAAACACAGAGGATCGGGTCAATTATCGGCAAATGATTCAGGAGTTACCCTCCAGAGTTAGGTAAGCTAGCCTGGAGACCAAATGATATCCAAATGAAAACACAATGGTCTCAAATTGATACACACTACAGAAGCTACAATAGAATCCCTACCAATGCAGTTTCTTGAACCTCTGACTTCTTTGTATAAGGGGTCTATAAGGCATTGTGAGGGCCTCCCTATTCACCATATTTGACGGCCCATACTTTTTTCTCTGAGGCTATTTAAAGGACCATTTTTATGCTAAACCCAAGTTAAGAGACCTTGAACAACTTAAGACCAGCATCCGAACAGAAATCAAAACATTCTACCAGAAATATCAAATGTGATGAACAATGTAGTTGCAAGGATTCAGACTATCATCGAAATATGAGGTTACAAAGAATATGTGGTGTAAAAGGTAACGGGTCAAAGTATCAAAAAGGCAAAACTGAATTAAAAACTGTGTATAGGGGAAAAAACTTTCATCTTTTATCTTCAAGACCATGCAAAAAATGTCTGAAAATATTGATTGGTTTGTCTATGGTGTTGATATACTTTTGGGTACATTTTTTTGAGACACCCTATATATATGTTTTTTTAAATTAGTGCCAATATTATAGATTTCTGGTTTGGGTATTTTTGCTCTCATTTTTGCCCCCGCTTTCACAATCATGATAACTACAGTAACTAAAATTCCTAGTAACCAAGACAACTTGATTTTTAAAGAACATCTACCTAGTGTTAGTTGGACCAGGTTTGGTGAAAAACGGGCCTCGTTTGGTATGCGCATACTAACTCGCTTGCCAGTATGATTGCTTATGAAAACTTCATACCTTGATTATCCAAGATGTGGTATGCGTTAAGTGAGGTTGATTGCGGCAAGTAGTGAGCGGGAGCCAATCATTCTTGACAACGGGTCTAAAAAAAGTTTGTCACCGGTATGTTATATATGTCAAGATTTAGGGGAAAAAATTATGTCATTTTAAAGTAAAGCTTTTTTTCTTTACAATGACGAGTTGTGAAATTTAAAATACCCCACTAACTTCGTAAAATAATCTAAGTCCAAGATTGTAAAGGAATATGGCCAATGTAAAGCTTTTTGAAAATGCTTGCTATATAAAAGTTTACAAGTTTACATCGTAAAATAATCTAAGTCCAAGAATGTGTAATGGAATATGGCCATTGTAAAGCTTTTCAAAATGCCTGCATTAAAAGTTCACAACTTTGCTTCGTGATATATTCTAAGTCCAAGAATGTAAAGGAATATGGCCAATGTAAAGCTTTTTGAAAACACATGCCTTAAAAGTTTTCAAGTTTACATCGTAAAATATCAAAGTCCAAGAACGTAAAGGAATATGGCCAATGTGAAGCTTTTTGAAAATGCCTGCATTAAAAGTTCACAACTTTGCATCGTGAAATAATCTAAGTCCAAGAATGTAATGGAATATGGCCATTGTACAGCTTTTTCAAAATGCCTGCATTAAAAGTTCACAACTTTGCTTCGTGATATATTCTAAGTCCAAGAATGTAAAGGAATATGGCCAATGTAAAGCTTTTTGAAAACACATGCCTTAAAAGTTTTCAAGTTTACATCGTAAAATAATCAAAGTCCAAGAATGTAAAGGAATATGGCCAATGTAAAGCTTTTTGAAAACACATGTCTTAAAAGTTATCACGTTAACATCGTAAAATAATATAAGTCTAAGAATGTAAAGGAATATGGCCAATGTAAGGCTTTTTGAAAATGCCTGAATTAAAAGTTCACATCTTTGCATCGTGAAATATTCTAAGTCCAAGAATGTAAAGGAATATGGCCAATGTAAGGCTTTTTGAAAATGCCTGAATTAAAAGTTCACATCTTTGCATCCTAATACATGCGCCCAGGAGTTGGATCCGCGTTTTAAGTAATTACCTGTACCTCGGTCTAAATGCATCTCGTCAGAAAAAATGTTTCAGTTCGACAACACGTTTCGAGAACGTAGTGAAAACTATTTTGGTGTAACTAGAGGTCACATCGATTGTACATCATATATTGTATCTATTGTTGTTTAAGCAAAATCGATTGATTGCTACGACAAATCCACAATGCGTGGTGGATACTGCTCTGTAAGAACTAAAGTAAGTGACACGTTGTGCAATACACAAAAACCTGAACTATATAGAAGATGTACAAAAGATTGCCATCAAGACTGCAAATTACACTCATGGGGAAGATGGTCGTCTGAATGCCTAGATGGGATATGTGTTATGCAAAATACAGAAACTATAACAGGTAATGCTATTTTATTGAAACTTTAAATTATATCAAACATCTATCAGTAATGTACACATTTTTGGTATTGGTACTCCTCGAATACCTTTTCATAGGTCATTTTGTTGGTGCACTTAGAAAGAAACACAAAGAACATGTCGCGATAATCGTAGATTCATTATCCATTTGGCCTAATGGATGCTATAGACTGCTAGTCATAGATACTACAGCATGTACGCCATTATCAGATTATATTTACATTTTAATTATAAGCTACACATGGCGAATATAAGACACATTCTTTCTTATAGGCCATAGGATAAGAAGAAGAACGATTGCTATTCAACCATCAACTCATGGGAGGAAATGTCCTCATCTAATGGAAAGCTCTCGATGTCAGTATCCGTTGTGCTTTTCATGGGCGTATGATGAATTTGGCGATTGTATTGTTGATCCACCTTTTAACAAAACCACGGGTTCTGTAGTTTGCCAACATGGACTAAAATGGAGAAAGGTCTTCTGTTCTGACCATAACATGGTAAAACAAATGCTCCAATATTAGAATTACCTCATTTTATATCTTCAAAGCAGCCAGGTCTCTTTAGACTTTCATTCACCAGTTCTGACCTCGCTGACCAAGTCCCTTGCACACAAACAACGTTCTCACGACGCGAACCATGCACAGCTGTGTGGTTCATAATGTGGGAACTCGATGCCCGAATAGGGAAATGAGTTCTGGAAAGAGGAACGTGACTAAAGAATTAATATTCGCGTTGACAGAACCGTGTTTCGGGTGGACGTGGAAGGAACGAAGGTAGCGAGGTCGGAACTGATGACCGCGTGGAAGTCGAGGAGGTCTGAGCAATGGTCCACAGCAGACTGATACTAACTAATCCATATTTCACTTGGTTTAACCATCTTCGAATTCCCAGGTTGGAAAAACTGTGGGAATAACTGAAAAAATTGTGAATCAAAATGTGGTTTAAAGCCATATAGAACAAATGTAAGGCAGTTTTGTCTAAAGAACTATAATCATCAAGATCACTATATTGCCTTGATTCTAGGCCGGCAAACTATTATTACTGTAGGATATCGAAGATTATTTTGCCTTGATTCTAGGGCAAACTAGTATTATTGTAGGATATCGAAGATTTCTCATTTTAAGGCAATACGTTTTTCTTCCTGGAAATGTGAGTGTGAACTGACTTTGGTGACATCATCAAAAAGTGTGTACAACCCCTCCATTTGTTTACATTGAGAGGTCAAAGCCTCTTTCTGAATATAGATCACATGACTTATAAACGGAGAATCAAACTAAGTTTGAGAAATCAGAGCAGTTTTCTTCTGTTAAAATTCCAGTCCAGTGAAGGTCTTACACAGGTCGGATTATTTAAACCCTTGTAATTGTACACCATATTACCCGGGGAGTTGATATCCCAGCGTAGTAGCCTAAGTAATTTCTCATATGTTCTATATGGCTTTAGTTGAAATTAAAAATTTATCGTTGATTTATATTGAACACATTTTATTCACCATTTTGAATCATCCTTCTGTGTACCAGTGAACAGACGAAATATATTTATAATGAATTAAATTCTGATAAACTGTGTTCAACGTACTATAACTATACTACTGATTATTTCACCTGTAATACAGGGTGTTCAAAAAAACGCAACCCAAAGAAATCGCGATATCTTGGAAAATACTAAACCAATTATGTTCATATTTTCAGGAAAGAAAGAAGAGACTGTGTATGTATAGCCCCTGCTGTTAGTTAGTTGTAAAACATGATGTCTTGGACACTTGCTTAAAAGACAGTTGTACCAGCAAAATACGAAAAACGCGAATGGAAAATAACTATATCTTGGAAAATACTAATTCAATTATGTTTAATTTTTCAGAAAAAGAAAGAAGAGACTGTGTATGTGTATAGCTCATGTTGTCAGTAAGTTGTAAAACATGATGCCTTGGACACTTTTGGCACTTAAGATTTGGCACAAATTATCCTCATTCAATGTGTGATGAATTTGTGAAGTTTCATCAAAATCACTCCAGGGACTCTATAGTCATGGTCAAATTGCCTTCTTAAGTCTCCCTGAACCAGGGCGTTTGACTGCAATTTGAAAGCATTTCAACCATAAAAGTGAAGTCCCTGAAGTGATTTTGATTTCACTCTACAGATTTATCATACTGTGAATGAAGATGGTTTGTGCCAAATTTTTAGAGCCAAAGCACTATGGTTAGAAAGTTATTTAATTTTTTGCGGTTGCAGTCACCCCTGACTGCGTTTTTCGCATTTTGCTAGTACAACTGTCTTTTGAGCAGGTGTCGAAGGCATCATGTTTTACAACTAACCATTGACAGGACCTATACATACACAGTCTCGTCTTTATTTCCTGAAAATATGAACATAATTGAACCAGTATTTTTCAAGATATAGCAATTTCTTTGGGTTGCGTTTTTTTTAACACCCTTGTATTACATGAGTACACTGAGAAATTATTTTCAGAATCAAGTAAATGAAAGCTATTGTCATTATGGCGAGAAGCCCCTGGAACGTACCAGCTGCAGGGTGTGTAAAGATGACTGTTTGATGTCCAAATGGTCGGGATGGACCATGTGTAATAGTGTCTGCTCTGTACATAACGTACATGGCACACGATCTCGCTTCAGATCAGTCCTAGCAAAACAAAGTAAACAAAAGAATACTTATTGTCAAATATGATGCTTTTCTTCGATTTCAACCATTTTGCATGCACGGCGACTATTTGGCGATTCTTAATGATGCACAAAGAATGAATCATAAACAGATTAAGTTTTTGTTCATAAGGTAGTTTTATTAATTATCAAAAGAAGATAATTTGATTTAAAATACTAGCTTATAATATTGACCATTTAAAGTTGATTACATACTCATATCTTACAGAGATGGCGTGAAGTATGATGTGTTCCGCTTTATAGCTTATGTATAATTCTTTAACATTATTTGTTCCAAAATAGATTAATGCTTTATACATATTACAATACTTTCCATTAAATCTAACTTGCGCCAACTTCATTTATTCCAATATGGGATCATTTTTGGCCAACCCATGCCAGTAACATTTAAGATTTGTGTATTGTTCAACAATATTTACTTGGCTATTTCGATCGTTATCAAAATCAATGGTTATTGTACACACAGGCGATTTGAACTTATTGCACTAAATACATCAATTGCATCGTACAGTTTCAGATAAATAGAATTAAAATAAACAACATTTTAGTATGTTGTCATATCAACAAATTGCTTCCAGAAAATCAAAAATGTTGGAATAGTGTGATGCGAAACGTAGAATGCAAACCAAAAGACGAGTGCCATGTGTTTACTTGGAAAACGTCAGATTGGACAGATTGTATACCACAAAAGGGCACATGTGGAAAGGGAATACGACTCAGAAATGTGACTTGTTATGATTTAACGAATGCAAAAGAAGTACCTGACCATAGGTAAGATATAAAATTATGTATACATATATAAATTAATAACACAATAAACTGCATTTTAAGCACATTTTCCCATTACATATAATACTGAATATGAACATATGTACAGGGTGATCAATAAATAAGGTAAAAGTATGTGGCATTCCTTCTGATGTAACCCAATTCTCATAAAATTTGTACAGAGTATGCTTCAAACTGAATTGATATGCCAAGTTATGGATCAAAGCAATATGATTGATTGATGTTATGGTTGTCATAGCAACAGAGAGCATGAAGACCCGTGGAAACTATAAAAAACTAAATTTCTTTCGAAGCACTTTCGCTTATTTTTCATTACAATTGAAATAACTTTTTTTTTATATTTCATATTTATTCTACATTATGTCCTTTGTTGCTAACCTATACTTTATGTCATCTAACCCATTTTTTGAACACCTTTTTAAACCAATTTTCCCATAGCCTGCAACTTGTCCAAGACTTCCAACCTGACTTAAGGTCTTCCCATGAGAATTTGAACACCTCTCAACTACCTCTTCAACTCACAATATATGTACAGGTAAAAATCCCTGGAGTCTAAAGTAAGTCAGGAGCATGTGGTGTATGACTTTACAGTTGGAAACAAAGCGTCTCGATGGTTTCTACGATCGATGGGAATATAGGAGTCTGAGATGGAACATTATCTTAGTGCATGGTGTATCGTTTCCCGGGCCTCATTTTGGTTAAAATTGGACATAATAAAATTGCCCTGTGTACCCCTGACTCCAGTTGTCATGGTAGCTATTATATTGACCAATCAGATGGTACAAGTACATATTTATATGTTTTGATTTAGAAATGTGAAATGTATGTTCTGACCAAAGGAGGAAGGAAAATATCGCAACAGATTTCGGACAGTCATATGTTGGATTTTGGTTATTTTCTGAGGATTTAAACAGGTGCATATGATATGTTAGGCCAATGTATTACTTACAGAAAAAGCACTCAGAGATAATAAAATAATTTCGACTTTGAGACAGGGAAAATGCAAACAACCCACCCACGTGTTTTTTTAAATGTCCTGATTTTCAATCCCTTCCACCCCTGCTTTTCCAATTTTTGATGTATCAATGTGTTCCTTTTTGACACACAATGAAGTCCTTTAAAGGAATAAGTAATTCCTCTAGGGGTTTTAAAGATATCCATTATGGGTGACCAAAATTCGCTGAAAGCAATGGATCGCATGAGATTTCCCTATAGGAAAATAACATTGGAAATATTGTTTTCCACTTTATCGAAGAGGAATCAGTTATTCCTTTTAAGTGGTCATCTGTGTCTTAAAACGCAACATACTGATGAAACAAAAATTGAAAAGAGTCCTTTTCCTGGAGATAATGTATTGGCCTAACATATGCACCTGTTTAAATTCTTAGAAAATAGCAGCAATCCAACATATGACTGTCCGAAATCTGTTACGATACTTTCCCTCCTCCTTTCCGGATGTTTGGACCAATATTTTCAAAATACCAGATACTTTTACCTTATTTATTGATCATCCCATATATACATATGTTAAATATGGTTCATATGATTAAGATATTATGATCTTAATAGGCGTAAACCAACAGGTTCGATACATATACAGAGTGTCCCAAAAATTGTACCCGAATGAGACGGGAATAACTATTTCCCCCTTTTTACATCAATATTAGCAGTTGAAAATCCATAAGAATTTGCAAATTTCTTCCTGAGAAAGGAAGTAGTACACTCTCCATTATGATCTCTCCATGAAAAATAATTAATTCATCTGATTTTTCAAAATGAGTATACTGCTTTTATTATTACATTTATATACACACTAGTATCTTGTTGACCTATACTCAGCACCGTATTGATATGTAGGCCACTTATGAGGGTCATAATTCAATCATGGAGTGTAGAGGCATGGATTCCAAACCAGGAAGTATTTTTGTGTCTATCAAAATCCTTTGCATCCTACGCATCCATTCATCTTATCCAAATATATTACTTAATAGTAAAATATAATACTTGTAGTATAATCTTTGGTTTTACAAAATTGTATGATACTAGTATTTGAAAAGTGTAAAAGTTGTTTTTGGTGCATTTTTCTATAGCAATTTTGAAGGGAAAAAATGATGAAAAACGTTTTAATTTAAAGTATCACCTGAATCGATTGCAAACATATTTGCACATTTGATGAGATAAACCATTTGTGTCATATTGTGAAATTATTAAGTTTGCAATCAATTCAGGTCATTGTGTTTTTTGGTATTTTTGTGATAATCAATGGAAGCCAATGACCTGGGATATGCTGATATTCTCGTGTTAAGTCAATGATGCTCAGCCCTACGTAAGTCAATACAACCTTACTGAACTAAATGACCCCATCTCAGCCTATGTGTGCCCAACCACTTTAATATTTTCAAAGAATTATATGACATTCTATTCTTCATGCTACACCCAAGAATGATTCATTTTGACCATGGGGGTATTTGCCAATTAACGCACCCCTTCCTTTGACATTTTAGATGGCACGCCTTGGTCACCTCCATCATGATCGATTCAGAATTGAATTCAATTACAAACATAGTAAATAGTCCTAAATAGGTGATGGTACTTAAAGAAGTTTTTCTCTAACATTAAACAGAGTTACCTGGTATTTATGATCATGATGATAATTATGAAAACATTGAAATATGGATGATGGCACAGACCACTTTTTCCCCTAAAACTTAACAAAGTTATTTGGTGAACTTTGAGATGTTTACAATAGTTAATTTTCTGTCGGATGACTAAATTTCAAGAATATTCCTTCATCACTTAAAGAGTTATTTCGTGTTTCTCTCGCACAATGTTTTGGGAAACTCTGTGTGTATTGATTTGACATAAAGATTTAGATATGGTATTGAAATATTTGCCGTTTTCATTTATCAGGTGTTACAAACATCATGGCGAGACTCTAGAGGAAAACTGCAAAGTTCGATGTCCCGTAAATTGTCTGACTTCGGAATTCAGTGAATGGATTCCATGTCCATCTGGTTGTGTATACGGTAAAAATCAAACATGACCTTATCTGTAGATAAATCAATTTCAAGATTTGATCTTAATACTTACATACACAGACGAACTCATTTTATCCAGCTGTTAATATCATCATCAAGAATAGAATCGACAATAACAGTCATGTTTGAATTCAACTCTTTCTTTGTATAGATGGAAAATCAATTCCTTTTCAACATAGAGAAAGGCATACCATTCGAAGTGCCCAATGGGGAGGTAAAGGTTGTCCTGACGGAGATCTCGTGAGATTATGCAATATGCCACCTTGTGATGACTATAGATGGGTTGATGAAAGTTGGTCAAAATGTATATTGTACAGCAGGAAAAACAGATGTGGAGTGGGCATTCAAATAAGAAGTGAGAAAATACATCGCACTACTTAGAAATATTAAAAAGTGTTCCGCTGTATAAGATCGCCATAATTCCCAATGCGGGGTCATGCAAAGATTTGGAAACATCATCTTCGTGGAATGGTTCAGCACACAATGCACTGAGTCCAAGTCTTAAATCCTTAAACCATACACGTGTAGTTAGTGCACGATCTATATTTTTAAAAAAATTGTCATTTGTATACATATTGCATCATCAAGAAGCGATAAATTCACGGTTTTAGTTCCTAATTATTGATTCAACAACACCAAACCGAAGATGCAAAAACACTCCTCTAGATTTGAGCAATGATGCAACAACACCAATTTATGGCATATTGTCAAACCCTACCATGAGCGTTCCTAGACTATTAAAATTAATCGTATAATTTCAGATGTACTGAAAGTTGTTCCATTACATAGGCTAGTTCGATCGCCTTTAACATGACAAACTGCAGTAACCCAATAATACCTAATCTGTTTCCCTTACTCCGGCTATCATTCAAAGTGGTGGACATACATCATTTGTTATCGGTAAACATGGCGAGATTTTTTTTTCTCGGTTGTAATTTTGTTCTTTATTTTCAAGTTGCCACATAGGCATGAAATAATATTTTACAAATCCAAAAGCTCTTTGATTCCAATGTTATATGAGAAAGTCGTTACAGACAATACAGCCATACAGTAGTTACATGTAAAAAATCGAGGGAATCAACACAAAAAAATATTGAATATCCAGGACTTTCATTAGAAATAGGCAACTTTTCCCGTTTATTTTACAAAAATATCCATATTTTGAGAAATTTTGAAACTTTTCAATTATTTCCATGTTATTTTTGTTTGCTGTAAGATATTCTAATCATACCCCTGATATTTATTTTAACAGTAGATCTCTGAAAATTGCGTAACTTATAAATTCTATTAGTTACATAGTTTCAACTTATTGAAAGAGAAAAATATCACCATGACATCTATAAAATAATAAAAAAGGCATAATGTGCAAAATGTCACCATCTGCCATTAAAAACAATACATGAAGTCTTTACACTGACTGTACCGTCAAAATAACTAGGTTTTTGTCAATTACGAAATACTTCAAAATATATATCTCAAAAATATGATTCAATGTGACCAGATTGACATTTAATTTTCAGGATAATATAACCAGCTTTGGATAATGTCCTCCCATGGCGAGATATTGGAGAATATTTATCATCAAGCTGTGGAACGGTGATAAATGAGTAAATGTACGTTAACACTGTTTATCAAAATATAACAAGAACAGTTTAACATCCGTGAGTGTTATCGGAGAACATTTAAAAAATCATGTTGATGGGATGATTTCTTCATCTATGTCAAAAACGTGTAATTGACTTAATTAGTAAGTTAAGTTACACGTTTTATGAGAATCTTGCATGGCGCGCATATGTAGAAGTATTGTTCTCTATGGATTCGTTCTCCCCGACTGAGTATAAAGGTATACATAAGTGATAGGATTTAGCTTCCAAAAGGGTAAATTGAGAGCGGTATATACTAATCTCAGGGGTCGTAATATTATATTGGACATTCTTGTACATCTTAAAAACGTGTCGCTTAACCTTCATTTTATACTCTTTTATACCTAGGTGAACTTTTTCTGAAGTTAATGCATGCATACATCTACCAAGTATACACATTTATAAACATATGATCAAAGGATATACAACAACAAAAATGGCTGATATCTGTTGAGTTTCTTTGAAAAAATCAGACCAACATAATAAATGTTGACTTGACCGAAGAATAAAAAGTGTAAAAAGCTTAACGTAATATTTCCAACAAACACGGCTAAGCAGGAAATCTATTTTACTCAATAATCAATCAACGCAATGTTTTATTCCACGCATTATTGACAAATAGGATTCGGACCAATGGTATTCGAACGAATTGGGCGATCCACCTAAATTTTAAGTTTAGTTGTCTAGTTCAAAGTAGTTTCAAAATTTGGGACACCCTCCGAACACAGATGTCATTTAGAAAGTGATTTACTTTACTTAGTTAACTTAAATGTACATGTACGACAATATCATGTGATTAAATCACATTCTTTTACTTTGTATATCGTGGCCTGTATATCCTTTTAACTTTGATAAAGACAAATACATTAAAAAACAAGCAAAATACGTTTTATTCATGTACTGACTAACACATGTAAACAGAACATAATGATAATTATGATAACGATTAATAATAATGATACATTATATTGGCGTTTTTGCATCAGAACATTGGTGTTATTGCATCATCGGCTAATAAACATAGTGGTGTTGTTGCATCAATAGTGATGGACTGAAAACTGTGCATTTTACATGTATACCAATGACAGTTTTTAAAAAAAAATATAGATCAGATACCACCAGTGAAATACTTTCCCCTAGTTTACTGAAATACCTTTGGTTCTTTTTACTAATTCCACTCATTTATGCTTTGCAGATGTAACATGTCAAACAAAATCTGGAAAAATTGTTCCAGAGTATCATTGTTTGCAATTCAACCATATTGCTCCTGTTACTCACAGAGAATGCCATGTCAAGTGTGGTCAGGTCTGTCCTTTGTCAGAATGGTCACAGTTTAGTCATTGTATCGAGAAGTGTGGAGGATATAAAACACGAACGAGGACAGCTGTCGGTAGGTTGTTTGTTGAATGAATAAAAATGGCCCATCAAACGGTAAAACATTACTATCTAGTAGTTGAAACTGTACTTTTAAATGAAACATTCAAGCTGGCAGAATGTACATTTGAGGGAACTCATGAGATAGATGTTTACTAATACACTTTATAAAGTTTAATCTTTCAGAAAGTCCATTTGATTTGATGTTTAAGGAATAAATAATGATAGGCCATTCAATATGGTGAAATTCAGCACGAGTTGGACAGAATGTTGTACAAAGCACGAACCGAAGGTGAGTGCATTTGTACTAACATTCTGTCCAACGAGTGCTGAATTTCACCATATTGAATGGCCTATCATTATTTATTCCGATTCAAACATAAAAATTAGTAAAAGCCGTGTCTGTGGAACGGGCATGAAGGAAGAATACGCATGCTGTCAAGATTCTGAAGTCGGCCGGAAAAATTTTAGAATTTGTTTGGGCTGTTCTATTTTACTCCCCGTTAAGTAAGACTAGTTCACCGACTGCAAACTTGAAGTCAGCCATAGTTAAATAGTTACAGTAGTTACGGAGGGAGTAAAAAAGAACAGCTATCCCCGGACAGAGCCCCAGATGTGCAGCTGAGATGTGACGTCACTCAAAACAATGCAAATTGCAGATTGAATAGAGCATGGTCGTGCATCTATGGAGAATTAGAGAACGTTCTATATTGGCTATGCTGCATTCTGATTGGTTGAGAATTTCGAATAGAGCACGGTCATGTTTGAATGGATATCCAATCATTCGCCATCAATGATAGCTCACATGTCGTATCTAGGCACTCAGACGACCATCTACCTCATGTCTGTACTCTGTAGTCCCGATGGCATGTAACATTTACTTTAATTCATTATCATCGTAAAATGCATTTTAGATCTGTATCATATTGATGTTTTATCTATTTTCAGCTGGTATAAAGATGAACAGGGTTTGTGAATGGCATTCACTGTCAGAAAAGTTACCATGTGTATGTACCGATTACACTGCTATTGGTCTGGGAAACTGGTCCAGCTGCATCTTAGAAGGAAATCACACCAATGGAATCTCTCACACATGTGGGGCTGGTATCAAAATACAGAGCATAGTGTGTGTGGACGATATGGGACGAAAATACTCTTGGTCACATTGTAGCAAAATAGGCAAAGCAATTGTTTTTATTATTGATAAATATATATTCTTCAAACTTCAGAATGTCGGGTTAATTTATTAAAAATTAATAGGTTAACTTTCGGCTGTCGGCTTCCGAATTAAACAGAGAGAAATAACCACAGAGTTCAAAGATGACAAGCTAACCTTAGTTGCATTCGCGAATACAAGCTAACCTTGTATTCGCGAATGCATCTTACACCTGTCGGCTACCGGATTAACCTAGTATTTTATTGGAAACTCATTTAAATATAAATGGAATAGTGGAAGGTACTATTCATATTTAAATGAGTTTCCAATAAAATAGTAGGTTATTTCGGTAGCCGACAGGTGTTAGTTGCATTCGCGAATACAAACTTAGTTTCTTACTTTTAAGCTAATGTAAAGTCTATTCTTCTTTAGAATATTTCAAAGAGGCGTGTTATGTAGAATGTCCAACAAAATGTAGCTTCTCTCACTGGTCAAGTTGGTCTGACTGTGACGTAGAGAATTGCGGCACCTCCCAACAAAAAAGGACAAGAACGATCATTGCTCTATATGGAGATGATGGGAAAACATGCCCTCCAGTGGAACCAGATAGGGTTTACATGACATTTTCTTATCTTTATTAATTTGTTTTTGAATTTTGCAATTACCACCATTATTTCCTTCCATAAAAGAATTGGAAAAACATGGGTTTATGATACTAAAGAGAGGCATATCTTTGCAGGATGAAAAGGACTTAAATGGCCAATGGCTATTGATACAAAGTGTCTTGGTTACCCCCCCCCTATCACAAAAACCAGTTCTTACCCGTTCTTGCCAGTCCTACGAAAACGTCGTAAAACAGGCTCAATCTGGCTGTGGTCGGGAAATATGTCCAAAATAATTAGCTACTTCGTTCATAAACAGTCTTCAATACGTCCATCTCATTCGCAGTTCGTTCAGGTCGCACCACGTCGGTGTGCAACGTTGTATAACGGTCCCTTAGTCTAGAAGGTCATCATGATCTGATTACAGAACGGTATGGTCGCCATCGAATTTTGAATCGATTCAAAATTCTAACTCGTTCATAAGCAGTCTTTAATACGTTCTTAATCAGTTTAAACCCGTTTGCAATTAGTTCTACCTCGTTCTCAATACGTCATCAGACGGTTCAACTCGTTGTAAAAACGTCCCTAGTAGGATTGAAATACGACTTATTACGTATTACGTCCAGCTCGTCGATAGTACGTTGTCACTCGTTCTAATTGTAGAACGTGACGACCACGAGAACATTTTGAGCATGTTCTAAGTTCTAGAGGACCTATCCATTCGAGTACGTTCGATGAAGTTTGTAAATAGACCCCAAACGGTTCTAAGTACGTTCAGTCCGTTCGTACACAGTTGAAGCCCGTTTTCGAGAACGTAGTGAGAACTAGTTTGGTGTGATAGTAGGATTAGATAACCTCCGTTTAATGGCCACGATCATCCATAAAATGTTGCATCTTCTCAATATTGCAAAGTAGTGTCTTAGTTCAAGCATGGGCTTTCAAAGCACATGGTTCAAGCGGGGTTCCAGCAGAGACATATAATACTTTTTATATGTTTCTGGTTCAAGCAAGTCCTGTATATCATTAATGTAATATTTATTTGCAGTTGGAGGAAACGAGACCATGTGAATTGGGATGTATAAATTACATATGGGAGGTTACTGGTACAACGCCATGTGACACTGGAGATGTACCTTGCGGAGAGGGAAAACAAATCAGCTCATTTAGGTTAATACTAGTTACGTTGTTCCGTCTGGTTAGCGGGCATAGCCTCCCTTGATTTAGAAATTGAGGCCTTTACAAGGATGAATTGATTATAGGTTTTATAATGAGGGCCAATATTAAATTATATCATATTATATTATATCATATCATATCATATATTATATCATATTTCATTATATTACTAGATGGACATCTTATAAAACTGTTACTTGACCAGTAGATGCAAGTTGCAAGGTCTACTATATGCTCATTTCCAAACAAGAAGTAGATCTCCATAAATCTCATGATCTCTCACGATAAGATAATTACTGGAAATCCCTATGATTCCTTTGTGAAATATTTATGTTTCAGATGCATAAATATGGAAACTAGACTCGAAGTTAATACCAGTTTATGTGATCCCAAGCACAGGCCCTTGAGAACAGTGGTGTGTTTCGTAGCGTGTGAAAAGGATTGTGTTCTTTCGTTATGGTCTGACTGGTCTAATTGCAAGCAAGTTAGTCCTATGTTAATGATTATTTGCAAATTGTTCTTTTCTCTGAAAATATTTGCTATGATCGATTGTTACATTTCGTACAACACTCCTGGGACAACACTCGTGAAAGTTCCATGTGCAGTATGGCAAGTGATTTTAGGCAGTCATATCTTTCACCATGAGTACTTTCTGGCCATTTTTATTAAAACAACATGTTTTCTTTCAAGTGAAGTCCCCATGATAGTAAAATATAAATCCAACTCTCTGAAAAATCATGGATTAGGGGCTAGGGCTCCACCTTGGCAAAATATCAGGCTTATTTTCTAAAAAGAGGATCTTGTTTTTCTCAATTTTACAATACTATATTTTTGATGATGTTTTTGACCCCTTGTTGAATAATCTTTTCATGCAAGAAGATCCTCTTTTGAGTAAATAGGTTTTAATATTTTGAAAAAATATTGACATGGGGTCCCTATTCATAATTTTTCGAATTGTTCAATTGATATTTTTATCATCATGGGTACTTCACTTGAAAGAAAACATATTGTTTTAATAAAAACCACTGTATTTATGCCCAGAAAGAACTCTATATCTTTCACAACACATAGTAACTGTGTATCCGTTGTCATGCTGATGATGTTTTTAAACCTGTGATGTCATAAGTAAATCTCATCTTGCACGTGTGACTTTTTAAGATGAAAGATGGCAATATCTTGCATGGGGTAAAGATGGCCGTATCTTTGTTAGTCATGTGAGAAATGACTGTCTAAAATCAGCCATACTGTACGTGCTCTTTTGTTATCGTTTTGTTTTCAGTGCACCAGATCAGGTAGCACCCATAGACAAAGAAGGAGAAGGGAATTGCTGCGAAAACCTGAAACATTGGGTTATAAGTGTCCTAGAATGATTGAACAGAGAGATTGCATACTCAACAGTAATTGCTTCACATTCAGCTGGAGAATGGGCTCGTGGAGCTCTTGCATATTAAAGAAAAGACAACTTTGTGGGAAAGGACGGAAATTTCGATATCTCTCTTGCATTAGAAGTGATGGGAGACCAATGCCCCATCATTTTTGTAAAGAGGTATATTACAGTATCATTAGACACTAGATTTACTTTCCTAATTTCCCCATTCTGATCTACCTAAACAACATCTAAGCCACGCAGAACTGAATTGAATGGAATCGTGAGAGAGCGGTTGATAACGTTTGTAATTTCTCAATTAATAAAACCTGACATCTTGCTATCCTGACTTGTAACATTATCAGATTGAGTGTCTTTCTATGCACACAAGTCGTGACATGATAAATCTAGTGCTATTGCTATTTCAAGCATTTCTCTTTGCTTTAAGTCTATAGATATGCTCCCAGATACAGTGATCAATGAGAAGGTTTGCTCAGTTGTATGTGATATTGATTGTGTGATGTCACAGTGGTCGTTTTGGACGCCTTGCTCGAAAACTTGCAATGAAGGTTTGTATTATACATACATAAATCACTCAATATGAATTGCTTTTTAGACCGAATGCGAATATAGTTTATTTGGTTGTGACTTTTAAGCATTGATGTCTCGATGGAACGGTATATTTGAAAAAATCTCAATAGTCAGCAAAGGAGCTAATATTTGTATTTATTATCTATTATTTAGGCATAACAAGGAGATTCCGTGAAGTGATCGTGTCCCCGTCAGGTGCAGGGACCAAATGCCCAGTGGAACTTTTCCAAACTGCATTGTGTTACTTGGATTCATGTAACCACTGGACAGTAGATACATGGTCCTCGTGTAACATAGAGGTAATAAGATCATAAACCATATCCATGCAATATAGCTAGTATAGGCAAATATCGCATTCCAGCCAATCGGAACACAGTATTTAATATAATTTGCATTCTTAATTTCACCACAGAGTCAATGGCTAAGGAACATTGGGATTTCTTATTTTCATCAATTTCAAAATTTCATAAGCTATTCTGTTCACTCTCTTGCCATCATATCCACGATGATCCAACTATACACGAACACAACCCTTAATTTGAATTTCAAAGCTACTAGATGTTTGAAAATCAAGGATTGTGAGTCGCATACTAGACCGTTTTTCTTCAAAATTGTTTCATTCAAATAAAAATAGAAATGCCTTTCTATCGATGGATTGCTCTATTGTACAGAGTCCCTCGTTTTATAGCGGCGTTTGGGTCCCCAACTGTAAGAAGCCCCAAAATGCCGCTGGAAGTAGGGACTCTGTATAACAGAATAATGTACCAACAGAAAGGCATTTTTGTTATCATCATGTCTCTGTCATTTCACTGTCATTTTGTGGTTTTGCTGAAAACGCATCACATGACATTTAAAAAATGTTATGTCACCGCAAAGCTTACAATTGTATGATTGGTCAACACCGGGCGGGTAACATGCATATAATGGAGATTTTAGACGATATTTAGTATTAACCTGCCGTGAAGACCGAATATTTCTCTATCTTCTCCCTTGTTACAGGTCTTGAATGAATTTCGATGAATACCCGTATCACTTTCAAATGTAATTTTCCCATTAATGATGGACATGTATTTCACTCAATGAAACGAAATATTTGTACAATATCTTCTCTTCCCAAACTTTCCAAACTCACTTTATGAGATGTGGGGCCATCATACATGTACTATGTTTCAATATGATCGAAATAATTTTTCAAAAGAAAAGCACAAATTTGAATATGCTATTATAATTATTATCCACTTTATGACAATTATAATAAAATTTGCAACAAAAAATATCGAAAAATAAAAATAGGATCCCACAAAATATCTAACTGCTAAAGTTTCCCATTTCATTTGGTATGCTTCATTGTTGCTGTTCAACTGTCGGTGATAAATGCACTCTGTAAATTAAACTATTCCCTGACAAAGTCTTTGATTAAGTCAAAAGAAACGCGAGGCTTTTAATTTAACTAGATGTATTATTTGACAAGTAGTGAAGTCTATTTCAGAACGGACACTGTGGCTTTGGGGAACGAACGAGGAAGATTTCTTGCATCCAAAGGCCGGGACTAACAGTAGCTGAATGGAAATGTACAGAACAAAGACCTAAAGTAAGTGTTATCATTTCGCATGTTCAATAAGTCGTTTATTTAGTGGTCATCTATCTCGATGTTAAGAGTATTGGATGGCTTTATTTGTATCATTTTTTTGTATTGCAATGCCATGAAATGCCACACAGTCTTGTTGTTTTGGATTGTAATGATAATTCCCAGTTGACTTCTTTTTTAGATCATCATTTGGGGTATCATTTCTCCTTTTAACCGGTTGTTCTCTCGGATGTTTACTTTTTCTTTCTGTGTTTTTGTAATACTCTTTGGCACTAGTGTTAACATATAATAAAATACTTATAAATACTTTCCTCATTTTAAAATACCCTTTATGTATCTTGCGATTAGTATAAAATATGTCGTATACCTCGTTTTAAATGTAAAAAGGGATATCCTAACACTACGAACGATTTATACCCCGTGCCAGGTATAACTTTGCCATAAAACGAACAGGATATTCTATATTATAAGTACTGTATTTTTTGCCTTTCAAGGAAACTGAAAGATGTTTCCTACCATGCCCTGGAGAGTGCCACTTATCAACTTGGTCTTCGTGGTCACATTGTCACGTGATTTGTGATCCAGATATAACAGGTCAGTTCAACACTATGGGTCTCAATAGCTAGTCTGGACAGGCTCCTGCCTCAGTTCACATGAAAAGGGATCAATTCACCTTCACTTTGTGTAAAGGTTGGATGCTTATGCTTCAAAAGCGGAGATCCTAGAAAATTATCAAATTACAGAGGTATAACAATTAACAATGTGTTTGGAAAAATATTTAATTCAGTATTGGATGCACGATTGCAGGTTTTCATAAATAATAATAAAATTGTGAATAAAGCTCAAACAGGATCTCAGAAGAAAGCACGAACAGTAGATCATATCTTTATTATCAGAACGCTTCATGATAAATATGGTAAACATTTAAATTCTCCTATTTATGGAATATTCATTGATTTTAGAAAGGCTTTTGACAGCATTTGGAGGGAAGGTCTTATATAAACTTTTGGCAGTTGGTTTAAAAGGAAAGTTTTTTGAAATCGTTAGAAAAAATGTATCAAGATACCAAAATATGTATAAAAAACAGTATTTTAAAAAAGAGGACTGAATTTAGAAAAGTGAGTGCAGGTGTTAAACAAGGGGATCCAATGTCTTCCGCACTATTCAATTTGTTTTTAAATGATCTGCCAGCAGTTATAAGTTTTAATGACGCATCAATTTTACAAAGTTCAAAAGTAAACTGTTTAATGTATGCTGATGATGTTCTACTGTTGTCTTTGAGCAGAGATGGAATTCAAATATCTATAGATAATCTTTCAAAATATTGTAAAGACTGGTATTTGTCAATTAGTTTATCAAAAGAATGAGAATGATAGAAAACGTACAGAATATTTTTATTTTGATGGGGATTAGATCGAGACGGTAAAATCATATAAATACTTGGGTTTGACCATTAGTAGTTCAGGGACGTTTTGTAAATCCAGGGACTATCTGTATGACAGAGGATTAAAAGCAATTTATAAAATTAAAAGGTCACTGGGCGATACTAGTTTAAAACCTTCAATAGGGATAACGATTTTTGAACAATTGGTAGTTCCATTAATCTTATATGGATCCAAAATATGGGGCATGTCGAATTACTTTTCTACAAAAGATTTGAATGAATGGTTTACAAATGGCAGATGATTTCCATCTGAGAAACTAACTTTTTGTAAATATATTCTTAAAGTAAATAAAAAAAATCAACAAATTTAGCAATTTATGGAGAGCTTGGGAAATACCCACTATATATAAATATATTTAAACAAGTTACTAATTTCTATAATCACATGTTAAATACGTCATCCATCTTATTATCATGATCAGAAGCACTACATCTAATGACCTATCAAAGAACAACAAGTCATCGTAGATGCTGAATTTTAAAAGTGTATTGGATAAATTAGAGGTAGTATCGTTTTCAGGAGATACTCCCAGCAACATATTCATAAATGTAATATAACATAGAAGGGTGCGATATATGACATAAACAATGGACGCGTATCACAATCACTATTCATGTGCTTATCCATGATACATATTTATTTGTTCATTTATTTACTTATTTATTTATTATGAAGTATTAATATGTGTGTGTTGTATATACTGTTTTCTGTTGTATTGATATATTGTTAAATTAGTGTTTACTTTGTGTACACTTAACCCTTTATGGGTATGCATGTGTAATAAAGTTCATAAATCTAAATCTATGGGCTGGGACAACAATCATCATTAAAAAATAAGGCCCAAAAAGGCCAAATGATGACCAAAGGGTCCCCTAATTGAGCCCATACGAAACTTTTAGGTCAAACATTTTTTCTGGGGCACCCCTGGGGGGGGGGGGGTGTTGCTTGATCTGCCAGTGGAGAGAGATTTTCCTGTTCTTTCAGATATTTATCTACATTTATTTTATCAAATCTTTGATTATGAACAGGGACAAATATGCTCCTTCCTTACTTAACTATCGCACAGATCTAGATTGTCTGCGATTTTCTCTGTTCATGTATTGTTTTTATGGGAACGTTACCAATATGCGAACGGCATTATGACGAAGCCTCCTGTTTGGTGACATCCCATTAAATAATACGTTATTAATTAGATGTCTTTTGCAGATTTTTTTTGTAAAATAATAGAAATAATCTAAAATAACATGTACTTATGATGAGTTAAAAACAAAGAGTTCATTTCACCAAACAAGAGAGCCATCTTTAATGTAAATTCAAATATTGCTACCCATGGCCACAGGGCCAATAATGCTTTGGCTTAGACTGTTTATGCTGTTTATTAATACTATTTAAATAAAGGAACCATTTAAAACTTAAACTAAGTATTAAGCATTAAACGTTCTTTCGCGAACTACGTTCTTTTCACTCGAACCACGATTCTCGCATCACAAACGTGAAATCTGGTCGCGCACCACCATTTCCTCGCTCCCGAACATATTTCTACACTCGCGAATAGAGATTCGTGCTCGCAAACCACACACCTCAAGTTTATGGAGTCTCAACCATTCCCCTTTGAATATTTCGGTTCGCTCTACTATACAAGATAGTCTTGTTTCAAGCCCTTGTGTACTCCTCTAACATGTACACATTCTATATGAGGTAATCTTACCTAAGCCTTTGTGAACCACACTTTCACATATGTTCTAAACAAAGTAGTCTTGTTTCAAGCCCTCGTGTACTCCACTAACATACACACATTCTATATGAGGTAGTCTTACCTAAGCCTTTGTGAACCACAATTTCAAATATGTTCTTAACAAGGTAGTCTTGTTTCAAGCGACCGGCGAATATCTTTAGATTAATGTGAGCAAATTGAGCGGCAAATATTTTAAGATTTATGTTCGCCTGTTGTTTTTCGCTAAATGACTGTTGTTCTAAATCCTAGTGAAACCCCTGCATGCACTTGTGATCACAAAAATAAACATGTGAATATCAATGATTTGTATAATTTCATTATATAGGTAGGCCTAAATGCAGTCGGTGGGAACAATTGAGATTATTTCGATATTAAAAAGAAGGGGCATTTGAAAATCATTTACGTTGAGCGCGCAAGAAAGATATGTTGCTGTTTACGCTTGGACAACTAAAAAGTAATGACATTTTCGTACCTTTTTTTGGGACCAATTGAATACTTGAAAGTATCAAACAAATGACAAATAATTCTAACATTATACGTATTGTCACTATTGCAAGTATTTCACAATATTTCATGGTAAATGTCTGAATAAATAGTTATTTTAAAGCTGGACGTAAATTTGCACTGGTGAAGACCCCTGGCGTAAATATTTTGTATGATCCGCAGGACTTAACGTCCATCGTAAAATTACGTTTGCTTTATGAATACCAAAATAATTTTCCGCAATTCGATACGCTGACGTAAGTCCTACGCACGTTGGCTTAATGAATAAGGCTTCTGTCCGCTCTAGCCGGGGCATGAGCTATATCTCCCCGCTGAATAATATAATTAGTTTTTACGAACCTGCTTTTTGTACCCGTCCAATGTCGGTACATTGCTTCATTGTAAAGCCTTTCTCTTAGCTGGGGACCAAAATGCCGCTGGAAGTAGGGACTTTGTACCAACAGAAAGGCATTTTGTCATGATTTGAATGGAACAAGTTTGATGAAAAACGGTGCAGTATGAAACTTCTGGTATGTCAAAAATTCAAATTAAACGGTCGGAGTTAGTACTCAGATGAAAGATTTGTCTAAAATCATTTGCCATACCATGCCTGTTCCTTTACCCAATATCAGTTGACCAATACAAATATGCAAATGGTAATTGAAGAAAACAATTGACAATGAAAGGTCTACATTTGCAATTACAAAATTAAGAGTCGTCAAGCGATCGATAACCGAGTTAGTATCGTAAATCACGAAACACGATCACACCCGGATTTTGTCGCCACATAGCTACCACAGTTTATGGAGATGATGGTCATTGAACAGCACTAAGTAGGAGATTTAGTAGAGGGATTTAAAATCTCAACCACGGCATATCGCATCTCATCATGATATATTGGAAATATATTCATTCAAAACTAGACATTTAGATACTTCACAACACCCGGAACAAAATACGGGTTTCCCGAAATCTCAACCAAAAGCCTGAAAGATAATAAAACGTGAAGAATTTTCACTGCAATGAACTTAAAAATCGGTGAAAACATGTTACCTGACATGTAACCAAAAATATATTGATAGTCGAAATGTTCCCTCGCACTTGAAGCATTACCCTGATCGTGAAGTAAAATCCAATAATATCAGCTACATTTCACTATATCATGGCTTTATTTTTCTGCTGACACAGCACTAACACATTATTTAAAAATGGCAAGTTGACATTGCAGACGAAGCTGCCGATCAGTCTGTATTTATTCTTTCGAAAGGAGATTCATTTTTTCAAAATGTCTTCATTTTAGGTGTACTGGATCATAAAGAAAAATTAAGTGTGAAACGAAATGGTTCACAATGTGTCAGAGTCGAATTTCTTTCAATTTTACAGTTTGTACCAGAACTTAAAGTACTTGAAATACATGCACGAAGTCCAATGCTTTGTGTATATCATCTTTGGTTCATAGATATAGGTTTCACTTCTCATCGGTTATACTTACAGTTTGACATTCGAACAGTATATAAGAAATGGGCATTAAGAAAATTAACCTTTCTCAAAATTTTCAAATTTCAAAAAGGCCTTAGTTAAGCTTCAATTTCCTGTTTTAGAACCCATTCTCCAACTCTTGAAAATGGATTCTACCAATACTCACCAACATGAATCTACTTGTTGAGACTCGATCAACTTGAGTTCTTCTGAGAAAATGAGGATTTCAGCAAGGATGCCATTAAGGGGGATGAAATCAATTGCATCTCCATGCTAATTCAATGATACCCTTTCTGAAATCAGAAAGGGTATCATTTTCTCAGAAGAACTGAAGTTGATTTAGTCTGAACAAGTAGATTCATGTTGGTGAGTATCGCTAGAATCCATTTTCAATAGTTAGAATATGGGTTCTTAAACAGGACATTGGGCATGCTTTATAGAACTTTTTGTTG